GCTTCGGTGATCGGACGGTTCCCTCGCACGCGGTGCACGTGGGTCTTATCGGACGGTCACGCGGTGAAGCAGTAACCCAGACACGTGTCGTGTAGTGATTCGATATATCAAATAAGTCGATAGCGTATAATAACGGACGATGCGCGGCCGCGAGTTTGGCGCGCAGCCAGAAGTCGGTGCGCAGTCGTGCCGTTACATAGACAGCCCAAAGATGAAGCCCTTCGTCACCAAGATGGGAGAGTTTCTTGTCCTGATGGCGGGCGGCAATCCGGTGGACTTCAAGGACGTCATCTGCACGGCGGCCAACTGCAAACAATTCAACCATGGCGTCATCATTATGGCCCAGGACAAAGTAAGCATGCAACCTGCTGCAACAAATTCCTCACAAAAACCTCTCTCATGCGCTATCAATTCCGCCGTTTGCCATAGCCTTGTAACACTTTGAGCTTCGGCAGCATACAACATCCAAAATGGTAAATGTATCCTACTTCAGCATATCAAAATCTCAACGCAGGTCTCCGCAAAAGCATGCAAATCTTCGTCGCATCTGTGCTCCTGCTCCAACTTACGACCAGACTTCATGGACTCCCCTTCTCTTTCTCCGCCTTCGTCTTTCTGTTGACTACAATGACTCTGGTCACCGAATTCTGCTTAACTTCCTCTTTCTAATCACAACAGTTACTAAAATGAAATGAAACATCCTCTACTTCTCTCAAATTCTCCACAGACCCCCCAGCCAGCTGCAAAACGAAAAAGCCAATAAACCAGAAACTGAATCCAATTAACTTCGGTTTTCCCCTTCTCGCAGGAATTCCACACCCGCAACTCTCAGATCACGAAGCTGCTCAAGTACGTCCTGGCCGTTGACAAAGACGACGCACGGCGCCTGCGCGTAGCTGTGAAGACACTCCACATCGCGCTCGTCCGGGGAGAACAACAAGCTCGCGCCCATCACGATACAGTCATCTCCAACATCGCACCCAAGGACGTCGCCACTCAACTGAGCGCACATATCGTGGGCAGTGCTGATCCCGAAACGGACTATCACGTAAGCATCAAGACCGGACGAACTGTCCACGCAACAAGACATTCACACTGTTCTTCTATCTGCGCCTTTGTTCTTCTACTCATATACTCTTCCAATTTGTACACCAAACAATCTCTTGCGCAAGAGAACACTCACACTGTTTCGAACTCCTTCTGCAATGCACTCTTATGCTCATTTATTGACCCAATTTTTGGCGCCCCTCATCCTCTGCCAATGATCTACGCATACTCTCATTCTAACTACCTCCATTCTTCCAACTTCTTGCAGGTGAGGGAGATTAAGCTCGGCACAGATGTCCAAAGCAACGCGCACACAGTGTTCTACCTTCTGCACGAACCCCCACCTGCGAAGAGCCGCAAGCTGCGCAAACTCGGTAAGTTTCTAGAACAATTCCACTAACCTAAATGCAAGACGCGTATTCAATCTTCTCCCAATCTGCGCTGCCCGGACCATCGACTGACAATCAGTTGATGCATTCACATACCACACGTACTAAGTTGCTGCAACCCCCTTGTGTGCAAAATCCCTCCTGCACGCATCGTCAACGAATTCCAAACACAGTTCTGCTTTGAAGCGCAATACTACCACAATCAATCCATACTTTCACGCCATCTACATATCTTTAACTCAATAACACTAATTCCTCCATTCTGTACACTCCCGCAGCTGACGTCATCGACACCCCGGACTCGGACAGCCAGGCAGCCCAAGCCGCAACCGGCGGCCGACCCACGACCCTCAAGTGCGAGAAGACATCGAAGCCCACCCAAAACGCCACAAGTCCCCCGGGCATCGTCCTCTCCCCCGATGACGCAGCAACTCCAGGCCCCAACGCCCCCACGAACTACGACCCCACCGTAGACGACGCTCCTTCCCCCCCTTACGAAGCAACCGAAACATTCGACCCCGAAACCTCCTCCCCTTACTCAGACGTCAAACCCGGGCCCGACGCGCTGTTCCCTCACGCCGCTGCACGCGCGACCGCGGCCGCCCCCAAGGGACCGCGCGGCACTAAAACCCTCTACGGCGACACGTAAACCCTACGAATGTCAGAGTCACCAGAGCACGTGGTAACAACGTCAGAAGTCTGCCAAGTGTGTCAGTCGTTTGCTGATTTCCGCTGCTATCAATGCAAATCAGTGCACTACTGTAGCAAAGAACACCAGAAGAAGCACTGGAAAATCCATAAATCCAGATGTCGTGCTCTGTCTAAATTTAGCTGTCCGATAACGGAAGACAACCGGATAGAAATAGCTAGATTCACGTTAGAATGGGCTGTAGATAGACTTTTTAGTGCGATAAGGGACGACGTCCTGCCCGATCACGACGTTTGTCACGTCTTCGGTCTTCCAAAAGATAACAGGTCCATGCAACAAGCAATTTTCTCATGCTACCAGTCAGCAGCAAAACGATTTGACATCTCCAAGCAGCAGTTTGTAGACGCGCACATGAGCGACACTATAAACAATCTTATACTCGGCATACCCCAGATTAGAACAAGCACAAACGGACTAAAAGTTGTAGAAGCGGGTGGCATCCACCTAGAACGATTTCCCGGAATACCATGATATGACTCCTATAATTCTTATCTCACATTCATCCGTTCTCATAAATCCTCAGCAATCACACATACACGCATGTAACGGCGTTTAGAGGCAAGCCCCCGCCGCCTCTCCGAGGCGGGCCGGTCATGTATATATAGGAGCGCAAGGGAGCAGCTTGCGTCGTGGGCGCAACGCGGGACAAGTCGGCCGGCCGAGTTTGCCGATCGGGGCGCAGGCGGCCGGCCGCCAGCCCCAGGGCCCATGCAAACAAACCTATATCGCAGTATTATAGCTAGACCATGCTCCGTGCACAATCGGACGAGCGGTCTCGAAGACCTAGGCGGCTGCGTCGTAAGCCGTCACTTCCTTTGAAAATGATCAGAAACATGAAAGCGAGCACTTACAAAGGTTTTATGGAGGAAACAAGGAGGGGATATGTTTAGGCCAAGACAGGGTCAATTCGGTTTATTCTTATGTAATGCTCGTCATTGGAATTGACGCGAGCCTGGCGGCACCTTACGTGCCAAAGCTCGTGGCAACTTCTTAGAACCTGGTACAACAGAGACCCGCGAAGGCGGTTCCAAGCGTCTCCAGGCGAAGAAGAAGGCTATGCAATCACGATTGTGACGCTTGTGAATCGTTTGACGAACGAGCCTCAGTTTCCTCCTGATACTCAGAATCAGGCTGCTACCGCATGCTTCCTTCTTTCAGAACATCAATCATGTTGTACAGTTTCTGGTCGGCACCCTCCCTGACCTGCAACAGTCCAACCAATAATCAGATTCTTGAGTCTAAAGGCAGCCCACACATTCCTGATCGAAGAACGAACAAATATGTATCTCATTTTTTCCCTCTGCTTCTGCGAATTCTCGTGTAGACCAAGGCTGCTTCAGACCGAAAGGCTGGACGTTTTGCCTACTGCAGACTTCCAATGGCTGCCACGAATAGAGTGCCAAGTCTGCATATGGAAGATGTTGTGAAGAAACCTGCGAACAACTTTCCAGCCTCGCTTAATAATCCGCCATAAGGCTTACCTTCTTTGCAAGGAAGAGCACTGCATCGACGGTCCCCTGAGCGTATATGCTGCGGCCCATGACGTTATGTTGGAACTCAAACGCAACTCTGCATCAAAACGAATCAAGAAACCCATGACCCTGTGAGCGTTGTTCTTTTCCGTCGGACTCTGTAAGATCGACATACTCCACAAGCTTGACCAACGGACGAACAGAATCATTTCGAGCCTTCTCATTTGCTGTGCCTAACAGCCTACAACTCCTCCTACGTGTGTTTGCTGACCACACCAAGGCACATGATTGACGTCCACAAAGCCCCGCAAACTCGCCGCTTTCACTTCCTGAGCGTATTGTATCGTCTCTGCTACAGTGGCGGAGCATCTTCCAGGGTGGGGATAGACTGGGCGCAAATTCAATGTAAGGTCCAGTAAAGATGCCTTTGACGGCCAGCTACTGCCGGCTCTCAAGAGACGTCTGCTGTCCACAAATTATTGGGTGGGCTACTAGGGGTCTATCGAAGAAGTGCCGGTTGGTGCCTCCCTACACGGCTCGCAAAAATTGAGGCGTTAGATGGCCCGTTTCGAAGCACTGCACGGCTACTAAGCTTTGCGACCGGGCCAGATTGTACGCATGTGACGTGGCCTGATGTGCACATATCCACTGCTCCAAGCAGGGTACGCCTTTCCGGTTAACGTTCAAACCACAGCAAAGTGACTCGGTTCGGTGGAAAATACTGTTCATTCCAAAACACAATTGCAGACGAATCACAGTTGCAAAAGCAGGTGCAGCGATCACGGCTGCTGTAGCAGTACCGTCCCGCAAGAACGGATACTCACGTGCCGTCTGGTGACAATAGCTTATACGTATGGAAGGCGTGGCCCCCAAGGTAATCCTCGGGCACGTGCATCCGCCGCACCTGCTCCGAGGGGTCTCGCACCCGCTCGATCTGCAAACGAGACGCCCTTCTTCGAGATATGAGGGCTTCGGAAAACGAAGTTCCAGGATCTAGCGATGTAAAGTTTCTGCCAGATCACGATGTAGGGATTCCAAGATACAGAGGGTTTCGCAATCCTGAGTCGTCAACCGCAGAAGCTTGAGGCAGTTGGAGCATGAACGTTCCAATGTGGACGTTAGCGAATTGAAGAGAGAATGTTTTTAGAGGAGATGACGGAAGAAAACTAAGGCGAAGAGGAGCGAGAAACGAACAGCAAATTGGTTTGTCAGGAAAGGGCAAGACGAAGAGGAGGAAGAAAGAAATAACAGAAGCAGACTTCAAAATGGAAGACGAAGAAGAGACAAGATTGGTTCAACAGCAGCCCCTCACCTCGTCCACGTTGAACTTGACGCCCAGCTTCTGGAAGTACTCGACGATCGCCTTTGCTGTACCGGACGTGTCCACTTTGCTCGACTGATGCGACTCGGTGACCTTTAGTGTATACCCCGCAAATGCGCCCGGGAAGTTCTGCGCCATGATGTCCATCGCGGCTTGGAACGCCACCACCTGGCATACGGGAAGGGTTAGGTGAACAGGCGCAGGTTAAACAGCTGGTTAGGAGTTAGTTCATTTCCACAATTTCAGGGGTTCATGGGGGGAAAAAACGGTTTGTGTGGATGTAGCATCGCGGCTTGGAACGTCACCGCTTGGCACGCTGGATTGGAACGTCACTGCCTGGCACGCTGGATTGGTTAGGTGAACCGGCGCAGGTTAGACAGCTGCTTAAGAGTTAGTTCATGTCCGGGATTCATTGAAAGGAGAAACAATCTTGTGGATGTAGCATCGCGGCTTGGAACGTCACCACCTGGCACGCGGAATGAGTCAGTTTAACCGGCGCAGGTTAAACAGCTGGGTAAGAGTTAGTTCATTTCCACGATCTCCGGGGTTTATGAAAGAGAAAACAATTTCTGTGGATGTAGCATCGCGGCTTGGAACATCACCACCTGGCACGGAGAAGAATCCGGTCAACCGGCACAGGTTACACAGCTGGTCAGATTGGTTCGAGAGTTCGATGTCGATCCGGGATGCATGAAAACAACATATAAACGGTGGATGTAGCATCGCGGCTCGGAACGTGGACAATGTGGCCCGCAACAAAGAAACCGGCGCCGGTTCAGCAGCTGGATCAGAGTTACTTCAACACGCAGAGCAATATCGATCTGGGTCGAAGAGGAGAGGAATCAGGTTCTGTATACGTGGCACCGCAGCCTGAAACTCCATCACCTCAGACGCAGGAAAGTTTTGGTCAATGGTGCTGGTTACTCGCTCGTTGATAAGGCTGTGAGCGGTATCAGCACAAGGGAAACCTCGCGTCTTGTGGCTTGCTTCACCGTGTGGAAAAAGCATGAATGTCAGAAAAGAAGGTCGTGAAAGGTTGTAGTCAAACGGCACCGATTCAATTGCTAATCTTGTTTTAAAACCCGTCGTCGACCTAGGAAGGGACCAACAAAGAGAAGCCACCAGCCAGAGCAGATGCTTCCTCTATAAGGGAACAGCTCTTGTAACGAGACACAGCCGTCGCATGGGTGGACGTAACCGCAGGCTTTCCGCCGGAGAGCGTCGGCCGCTACGATGTGAGTTTCATGATGATACGTTTTGGAGGAATAAGTGGGCAGTAATTTCAATCAACTAGCGAGCACTTGAAGCTTCTTATCGCTAGATCTGATGGCCTGGACAAGATGTGTAAACCACTCTGGGAGGCCACCAAATCTTCACCAAACACTGGCACTTTGAGTCAGATTCGGCAGTCGGGCTCTACTTCATCTCCTTGCCTATCACACAAACTGACCCATCCAGTCATCGACTCAATCGGCTCCCTTTGGGACCAGCATGAGGCAGTTCGGCCCAGCTAGCGTTAGACGTGCCAAGCGATCAACAAGGGGATGAATGAGCTTACTTGCTTGCCCATTTGCGGGGCGATGACAGCGTAGGTGCCGGCCTTCTTGACGGTGTCTATCAATTTTGTTCGGTCGCCCCCAGTCGTCCCCATCACAAAAGGCACCCCTCTCGATATGTAGTATTCGGCGTTGCCTGATAGATACAAGAACCACCTGGTTATGAACATCGGAGCTCCTGACAGCCCTATGTTGTGTTTTCGAGACTCCACACGCAGTCCTCTGTTGGTGGACGGAAAGCCATGACGAGAACTTCTCATGAGACTTGATAGAAGCCTCATTCAAAGTGGTCGAGACAATGGGCATGTCAACGTATCTGGAGAAGGTTGGATTCCAGGATTCTTTAGGTAGATTATATTTGCCTGAAAAGTGCATACCGCCACAGCCATAGGGACACTTTCGATGTAAGCAGACGGACAATCAGCAGATGAGGCGAAGGACTTTGAAAGCTTGCCTTCAGTCAGTCATAGGGACTTGACGAATGGATCAAAAGTGTCCAATAAGCCATGTGCTTCAAATTGAATGCAAAAGCATCATGTCCCACAAGACAATTGCATCGTCTTGGAAAAGAGCGAAGGTTGTGGACTCACTGTTCACCGCGGCAGGCAGGGTATAATCCACCACGATCACGTTGGGATACTCGTTCAGCACACGGTCAAACACGCTGTCCCGTTCTTCCGCTCCGATAATTTGAACGGCCACCCCCCCGCACGCCACTCTGCTGTTCCCCATCTTTGGTCCGGTTATCGCTAGAGGCACCAGGTTCAGTCCTGCTGCCACCGCAGCTTCCGCTACTGCATGGCCCATCTTCCCTGAGCAGTCCTGTGGATGAAATCAGTGTCAATTGTCGGACAAAAAGTGTCATGAAAGTCTGAGAACTAAAGAGATACAGACTTGATTCTGAGAAAACAGGGCGTGCACATAAAACCGCTGGTTTCAGGATCTGCACTCTGATAATGACGGCCCAATTTGGGAATAAGGAGCAATGTAAGACCAACCAGTACTCATGTCTTAAAGTTGACACGACGTAAAAGTGGGATCTGCCTGTGATAGAAGCCTGCCACCGCTGCATCGCTTGAAAGTAAAGAATTCATGCAGTTCTTTTAACTTGATGAGCAGCGGATCAAAATGCGTTTGACCAGATTACTGAACTGGCAGAAGTCCTTACGACCAGGCCTATCCTCCTAAACTCAGCTTTCTTTGCTAGGAGATGTCTTGTTTACACCTCTTTTCCCGTTGGATAACCCTCAAAGCCAAGTGCATAACTGCAGTCGGAGTTACGGCGCCTCACGTTGACCATCACAGAAATAGACGACGTCGGTGCATTCTCTGTTGCGCTTGCACTTGCCGCATTCTCAGCTTGGATGGCTGCCATTACAACTCGTCGTGGTTGTTGATGCCTAACACTTCCTGCTCTTTTCACGTACCACCTCTTTTGGTCTCTACATGAGGCAATCCTTGAATGCTTTACAGTGCAGATATGTTCAACGCTGCAGATTGAAGAACTTGTCGTAGGACTGCTTTCACTCTTTAGTCGCACAGGGGCTTGAGAAAACCATGTTATGGGGAGCACCGACAAGGCTACCGCCATCGAATCAAGAAGGCCCTCAGAATGGTGGATTCAGCTGGAAAGTCAGGACCTTCAGGAACATTTGCTTGAACCCCTGGAAACTTATTGGCATGCCAAAAGAAGAAAGGTACAAGCGAAACTCTTGCGCCTTGTTGCGGCTTGTTGAATGCTGCATATGCGAAGTGCAAATTCAATGGCATTGCCTGTGGCAAAAGCAGACTGTTCACAGTCTTGCTTTGAGATCAGGGTTTGCTTTAACCTGGTAAATCTGATTTTGACAACTTTGATCATCCTTTGACACAACGGGCGGTCCATTGGTACTTGAAGCCTTGCCAACATGACGCTGTCAACAATGCTGTGCATTTCGAAAATCTGGTTTAGTACACCTCAACGTTATCATTGAATTTGTATCCATACAGATGGGCAGGACAGGCTCAGCATTGCCACTGCCATTGGCTCGTGCAAACAAGAACTTGAAGAAGGTCCTGAAGCGGTGCAAGCAGCAAGGCACGGATCAAAGCTTGGGATTCAGCAGGAACTTTGTTCGGAGAAGAACTCTCAGTTGGACGCATGCAAGCTGCTCTTCAAATCGCAGAAGAAGAATCGATGGCGTTTCTGAGTTGTCTTATCTGATGGCGGGGACAAATGAAGAGGTCTTTAAATCAGTTTGGATCTAGCGCTGTCTGTTTGTTGATCAGCAGGCTGTCCGAGTTGATGGGCTAGCTGCTATAGCTTAGTTCAGCTTGAACCGGTGCAGGTTCTGGCACACCACTGCTGCATCAACTTTGATCAGGGAATTGCTGCCGCAGATTGAAAGAGAAGTACAGAAAGTGTTTGGAGTAGGTCTGGATTTTGTGGGATTCGATGGCCATCACAATAGTTGCTGGTCAGGTCCATCTCAGCAGTCAAAGCAGCATACTTACTCACAGTCTGCAAGAGAACTGTCGGTTGCATGCAAACCTCCGCTCCCAGTGCTTCCGAAGGCCAATAGGATACAGTGCTCGCTTGACGCACTCCAGACCAGCATTGCTCAGAAAACCCCCTGAGCCACCTCATTTCCTTGAGAGTCCAATCACACACATACGATCAGTTCGGTGGAGGAGAAGCTTGGCTGACCCTTCCTTGCAAACACTAAGACCGCTTGCATCTGCTTCGATCGAGCCCCCACAATCCGCACGAACATCCGCTGCTCCCTCATCCTCCACCCACTTTGAAAACCAACCACCGCCAATCTATCCCACTGCTGAGGAAGAATCCCCGGGACCGTCCGGCCACCCAGGCTTTGTTTACTTCTCCGGAGACAGTAGGGTGGGGACAGTCAGCTACAACCCTCAAGCAACAGTACAGGGCACGCCGGCACCAGATCAGGCAATTGGAGAGCCGCCAAACATGGCCACATGGACCAATCTGCCGCCGAAGAGGCTGCTTCTGATGGCCGTTCTTGCCGGGACGCTTTGGACGAGCCTGATGGGGGTCCGAGTGTTCGGGAAAGGTGCGAGGCTTGCAGCGGGGGCGTTGTCGCTCGTCTGGCTCGGTGTCGTGCTGGGGATCTCGTTCCTGGAAGCTTGGGTGAGCTGCATTCCGTCATTGCTCTTCGTTCAGAAGTCATCTTTGATTCGACGACAAAGTGTGTTGCTTTCTTTCTATGAGTATTTTATATCTAGAAGCTTCGACAGGCTACATCATATGTTTCTGCGTTTGGAATATTGTTCTGATTCTGCTCGCATGACTTGGTCAAGGGCCACGCATTTCGCTACCACACCTTCAAGCGGACTTGATGAGGTTGCAAATGCGGACTTGCCTCTCTTATCTCCGGAATGAAAGATTGAGGGCTCATCCTTTTTTCGGTTGAAACGATTGACGAAGGGATCGTTGGCTTTGTTCACTCGTTCTGACCCATTATGCAGGTTCGTACTTCCTCCTTCTTTTTGACCACCCCCAACGGGGAGCTGAAGTTCTGGGCCCCCAACGTGCGAACTTTCCTGAACGCTTACTATCTGTTTTGAGTTCGTTGTGTCTTACTTTTTCCCGGGACCCTCTTTCCCCCTGCCAGGGTCAAGACCCGCCCCACCTGATGACGCTTGCTGTCTTATATTCGGGGTCTGCAGCTAAGCCTCAATTTCTTATTGCAAGTCTCCCTCACACCACTGCCGTCAGGGTTTTTCTTTATTACGCGGGCGGTCCGTTCTGACCACTGATCATTCACAAGCTACTATCAAATCAACGAGCTCGCTTCCGTAACCAGCTCCCTCCTCCTTTTCCTGCTTCTTAGGTGAAGTTCCGCGCCCCGCTGATTACGCGCGCGGTCGCAGTCGACGTCGGGCGCCACGTGTTTGCCGCCAAGTCGTACGTTGAAAAGCTGCTCTACCTCGCGCTCGTTGCGCTGCTCGCCGATGCGGGGGTCCGCCCCTGGGGCCCGCCGTTTGTGGTGCCGGTGCTTATGGCGGTAGTCCTGCTGCAGGTGGGATCGTTTCCGTTCGTTCCGTCCATTCCGTTCGTTGGATTGATATTCTGTTGCGAAAGCAGATTCGGCCAAGAAGGGCCCCTCTGTTTGGCGTTTCAGCCTTCCGCTGAGGTTGTGGATATGACCCCATCCATTCCTATGGGTTCCTTCGGTGGTGGTATCTGCGTATAGAACGGATATGTTCGCTTCGCTTCTGTCCCGTTCCTTTTCATCCACACCGTTCGTCGGTCCTAATGGAGCCGCTTTTGCCATGAGGAGCAATAGCGAATTGCATCCGTAAGCTTGGATTGCCATCCTAGTTGCTTTTCACCGATCCTCAACCCGCTGCAGCCGAGATGCGTTCCGTTTGTTGTTTTCCACTCCCGTTCGCTTCATCAATCCGTTCGATTCCGTTCTCTACTTTCCTTTCCCTTTCCTTGGTCAGAGTCTCTATGCGAGTCGTGCTGTCTATGAAGTCACGGCGCTCAACGCGTCACTTGCATTCAGGTTCGTGAATATGTTTGATAGTTGAACGTGTGTGCTGCACATAGATCCTCTTGTCTCATCCTACCGCGTTCATGAGTTCCAAGTTCTGATGCCTGATTTTGTCACACTGCTGGTGAAGTTCAGTCGGTCCTTCCTTCACATCTCTTCAATACCATTTTGTGTTCTGGCACCGGAATGGCCACGTCCGTGCTGCTGAAAAGGTTCGATCTGCTTACCAGAGCCCGGCTCACTTTGTGGTATGGTTGAAGCAAGGAGGGCAGATGTGCATAACATTAGAGAGAGGGTCGGTTCATTCGAGGAAAGCCCCGATGCCAAACCTTTTGATATCAAACCACTGGACGCTCGACCTGCGAGGTTGGTCACCCTTATTTGTGCGACGAGGTCTTCAAACACGCAAGAGCTCTGGACACACGAGCTCTGGATGCTTGGCCGTTGCGTCTTTAGAGTCTGGGTGCTTCCGTATGCCCGCTTCTGTTCGAGGTAACAACCAAGTAAGTAACTAAGCCACCGTTCCCCCTGGCAGTGGGAGTGGCTGGAACCGGGGCTCGAGCAACGTGCCCGGTGGACGATCGCCCAGGCCCCTGCAGAGGATCTCCCGGCCTCCAAGGCCTCCCTTCAGGCAGAGATTGCGGAGTCGGTTATGCAGCCCGTGCCCAAACGCGATATCCACGAGATTTTTGGCGCGCTGGAGGTGGTCAAAGTGTTGGTGCTGGCCAGCCTTGCAGTGTGGGCGTTGAGAGGGCGGCCGTGAAAGGGGTTAAGACAAGAGTTGGCGTAGGAGGGTTTGCACAGTTGGTTGGAATTAAGGATCGAAATGGCTGGCGGAGTTCATCCTGGATCTGCGAATAGTGACTTGGCATGATCTAAGTATGCCAGAAAAACATTGCAATGACGTAGTTCATATCCGAGTTTCTTAAGAAACAGCGCCTGATAAACGTGCGAGGAAAGATGGCAGTGTACAGGCCGGAAAGGCAAGCTGCTTGCCACAGCTAGAGCGCGGAGTTTAGGCCTGCTTGCCAATTGCTTGTGTGTGTGGCACGCTTCCATATAGACAGTCGCTCAAATCATGCCAGGTAGGAATGATGTGATTCTAGGATATGAATCACCTACACTGGATGCCAGATGTGGCATCTACATTGATTCTCGTAACTGTGAGGTAAAAGCCTGACATGGATCCTGGTCATGACTACTCTTAGGTTTCATGCCACAAGCTACCTAGGGTGGGTACCGGCCGAGTCGATTCTGACTCGATTCGCGACGATATTGTGACTCGGCGAATCAAATTTCGTCAGTAGTACTGGCGGTTCGCGTTACGCCGAGTGACATTTGTGTAACACGTACGGTACAAGTACTTAGAATTTTCCGCTCGGCCGTGACGCAGTGTGATAGAATCGTAAGATAGTGTTATGATTTACACTTTCAAAGAAGCAACAAAATAGCGCACATAGATGAGGCTTATGCAGCATGTAGGAACCTTTGACAAGCATTAAAAAATATTGGGAGAGCGTCACTAGGTGTTGTTTGAAGCCCCAAGTGTTTGTTTTGTTGAGGATAAATCTGAAGAAAGAGCATACGAGGCGCAAAGTTGGCCGCCATTGTTGGTTTTCAAAAAGCGCCTTCTCTTACACTTCTCTTTCGAGTCTCTGCACTTCTCTTTCAGCCTAGGTACCGCGGTACTCTTCCGTGGTCCAAGTCGGAACTTCCGACCGAGACCATAAAATTTGAATTTTTGGGAGCCGCAGACTCGATCCACGCGCGACTGTACCGTACCACCGAATTTTACGCATGTGTCAGTCGGCCGACGTGTCAGAAAAATTCCAATTCATGAACTCCGACCGGATTCTCAAGTACCGCCGAGTACATTCGTAAGTACCGCGTACAAAATTCGTCGCGACGCGTGACACCGGTGAATCAAATTCGTGACTCAATCGTCGCGCAATCGATACCGTCGATACCCACCCTAGGTTGCTTGCGCTTCTTGATGCCAGGTCCTCGATTTTCATGAAACATGTAGCAATTGCCATGATGCTGTTCAGCTAGATATCGTCCAATTGAAGCTGACGACGTTAATCAGATCATGGAACAAAGCGAATCTGTGAATTTTGTCCTCCATGACTACGCGCGTATGATCAACAATTGCCGCATGTAGATCTTTAAAGAGGCTCCATATTGGTCACCTGCTATATATACACCTAGCTGTGTAACGCTGATCCATCGGTCGGACAAAGCTCTGGTGAGACAGGGGTACAATGATCGGTTGATGCACATGTGCGTACGGTCAACCAACATACTAAGGATAATGTAACAGCTCAGAGCACGGCTTATAGCCAAACTCACACCGTCTACCGCACACAGTATGTTCTTCTAATGCAAAGCTCTGGGTTGTACCTAATTGACTTATCCACATTGAGACACTTGTGTCCCATACAAAAACTCTTCAAGAACAGCGGCTGGCTGAGTTCGACGCAAAGCCAGCACCTTGCACCGACCACATGCACCATGATCACATACATTGTTCGATTGCCATACTTAGTTGGAAGTAGTTTCACTACCAATAGCCTCAAGTAATAACTTGGCGCTCAATTGCACATTTGCTCCATAGAATTGTCGGACTACAGGATCCAACACCGGCAACTTGGCAAATGCATGGGATGCACGTCAAGAGGGGAAAGCATCTTTTATGAAGCATGACTCAAACCGCTTCCACAGACCATCTAAATCAACAGCCTGCCGATACACTTGAGCCCTGCCAGAGTACAATGATGACAAACTTGGGTAAAACCTACACAGCAGCAATATTCATGTTGCATCAGTCTCCTTAGATTCTCTTATGTTCTTGCTTTGGCAATCCGGAACAGGTTGGCACGATTAAACGGGACGCCAAATTCGTTTTTACACGGGTAACCAGTCCCCAGGACTTCCAATCAGCGCGATCAAACTCTGCATGAAGACAACTCAGGTGCTCAGACATTTCAGATCCTGCATGACGACAACTCAAATGCTTAGATACTTGGTGAAAAGTGCGGAGTAAAAAAGGTCAAATGTTTTTTGGACAACAAACGCTTCCAAACTGGACTGAAACTGCCTGTGATTGTAGAACCTGGTCATATCAGGATGGGGGAGCAAACGTTCAGATTCATGATTTGGATTTCACCAAGCAATCGTCCTGAAGCCTCCCTCATGCAAGTACAGTGAACTAAATGCAACTATCTGCAGCTTTATCACATAGAGCTTACACGAACAGTGTCTCGATTTCACCGGCCTTCATATCAATTGGAGGTCCCCTAACATTCTACCTTTGCATTGGATTTGAACAGAAGTCTCAAGAAGCTTGGGCAACAGACGACCAAAGCAGGGCCTACGCACATGGCTCAAAGCGGGTTCTACTCACATGGTAGTACTCACATGGCATACTTCTGCGTCCACTGTCGAGCGGTAGCTTCGTACTTGGCTCTGTCCGTCTTGTACATGTGTGCAATTTCAGGGACAAGCGGATCATCTAGAGGAGGAGGGCACGGGTTATGAGTCAGAAGTTGACAACTCTGGCAATTCAAGTCTGCAGAGATTTTTGAATCTTTAATTGTGCCGAGTGAGAACCACCCCAAGCATCTTCTTAATGGGAGGCCCCTTTGGAGCTGGCAACACAGCCTGACTGCAGAAACTTCAAGTGTTACAAAAAACCACTGCCCTGCGCAATTTTAAGTACCTAAAACTTGAACAAATCAAGTCTCAAACAATGAGATCAGCAAGATGATGAACCAACGGGAACACTGGACAGCAGCTGCTGCGCATCACAGATAATTGAAGTGAAATCTCCTCTCACCTGGATTCGGGTCCGTCAACAAGGAGCAAATCGAAAGCAGGACCTGCACCGACAATGGCAGATACACGCTCAATACGCTAACTCGCTGTTTCAAACCCTAGGTGCCTTGGCAAAAGTTCCACTTTTCTTGACTGAGTCAGTTTACCTCTCCGAGAATTAACAAAAGGGTAGTAAGGGAAACTCATGGTCATGTCAGACCAAATCTCACCATGTTTGGTGAAAGACCCTTCGTCATACAAGAAGGCAACGTCAACAAAGATAGACGCTTGTTCCTATGACCCCTCATTGAACCTAACAACCCATGAGCCCCCCACTCATTTGGACGCGCCCCGACCAAAAATCGAACAAGTGCATTTCCTGGACCGCAAGAGGTAGCAGGTGAATAGCAGTCCAGCCTGGTATCTTTGACAAAAAAAGACACGGCGTAAGCCCTACTGCCGATACGTAGCAGTGACAAGATAATTTGGGCGACGATGTACTCCGCGCATGCAACACCCGCCCATATACAACGTGATTCCCATTCTTAAGTACCAGCTCCATAGCTGCATGCCCCACAAACCCTAGTTCCCGGTGTACAAAAAATCCAACTTCGGAGGTAGTCTGCACCCAGCACTGCATCAACTCTGCTGTCAGCTCCCTCCCAAAACCCTAGTTTGTGGCGACAAAACTTTCGTCCTTGACAAAGGCAAGAGCACAGGGCTCCCCTCCTCTTGCTTGGAAAGTTCCCCACAAGAGAACACCTGAGCAAAAATAGCGTACCTTTGAAATAGTCAGCGCAGGGCTCCACTGCTCCTTCAAGATATCCAGGCAGATGCTACCGTTGCTATTCACATTCGGGTGGAATACTTTTGTCCTAAAAGCGACCTGCAGCAGCGAACAAGCAAAATGAACTTGTGTCGAAGACCATGTTTGTGCTTCCATCTGTCCAGCCATCAGTTTGCTGCCACAACTTTCCACTTCCTCATGTATCAACGCTCTTGTGCCAACAACTGAGACCAATTCAATGAATCTAGCAACCAAAAAGTAGGATTCCTCCCAAGCAGCAGCAGCAGGGCACAAGAAATGACCAGTCCACAAACATGATCAAAGTTAGACCAAGTGCTTGAGCTCACCTTTGGAGGTTTGAACCTGTTGATTGGCAGCGGAGAAAACACAAATTGTCAGTTATCTTGCAAACGACGCGAGATCTGGTAAACAAGACCATACAGAACTGCAGGATGGCTCACTCTCCTCTGTCAGACCTAATAAGCTAGATGACAACATGACATACAAGCAAAAGCCCTAGAGTTTGATCTAGAACGAATGGCGAGGCTAGAACAAATCCACGAGCGGAGACTTCGTTCTTACAACAGCGGCAAAGGTATACAGCATGCAAAACCAAAGGTTATATGTCTTACGGGTAATCAGGTGGGAAGTGGATTGTCACCTGCAGAGTAGGGATAGAAAGTGCTTAGCAACCGCATCATCTGGAGGGCCTGCTAGCATAACTAGCTTTGCCCTACCTCTTCAGCCCCTTGCAACCAGACAACCCTTTTCGACCTTACCAAGACTAATGGATACCAGAGAACGACTCACCAGGAAGATGCCTCCAGCATACGGGCTGTCAGCAGGTCCCATGATGGTTGCTTGCCAATGGAACATGTCCTCGGCCACAGGACCCGCACTGCATGAGGTCGGGGGATCTTTTTGAAGATCCTTCAGTTCCTTCAATATCCTCTTCGAAGCCATCCTCCCAGACTCCTTTTCCGCAACCAGACCCACCCACAAGATGGAACAAGCACTTCTGTTGGTTAGCGGCACAAGATGATGCGCTTTCAAAGGGCTGCCCTCGAAACAACCAAAGAAAACCTTCGAATCGCGTCTGATGAACTCTGCGAAAGAAAGTGGGAATGCTCGTGTGGTTCAGAATCAGCTTGCTTGCGCGCTCCTCCCTTCAACAGCCTCCCTGCGCGACAGCTTCGGTTCAGTTTTCGACGTTCCTGCCTACGAGAATTCGGATTTTGTTTCTTCGAAGACGATCTGCAAATTACCAGTACTGTGTACATGCCAGACAGACTACAGTCCTTCAAGGCAAGTCGGTACGTACCGATACTGGTCGCGTTGGTACTTAGGACCTCGAACGGTAGGTACCGCCACGCGTTCTTGTGACTGGGGAACTTTCTCGAGACTTCCCTTTGACACTGAGAACGCTCTTGAGATCATTCTAGGGAAACAATGATTTTGGAGTGTCAACCCCTTGCTGGCTGTTCCTGGCCCAAGCTGATTTTGCATCGCCGTCCATTGCCGTCAGACAGCTGCAGATGTTCTCCCTTTTTTGTTCACAAATACTCCAGCCTAATCTTCTCTCACGCTCGAGCTTGCAGGTTTTTAGGGTTTCCTTGCAAAAGGTAACTTTAAGCTCAGGCTGTTCCCCGTCTCTCCTCCCTCCTCCCTCCTCCACTTTGCATGGCAGTACCGGTACTTTGGTGAGGCAAGGGGCAACTCCTTTCTCTTTACGCTTGTTTCGGACGCTGGAAAAGATAGGCCTAGATTGCCGCACTATAGGGCCATGTTGACAGCTTTGCCAGGTACCACCTTTCAGCTGGATTGCGGCATTGCTTCCACAAAAGTTTCTGCAGTGTCTGGTCTGTTGGTTCCGGTAGCATTGTCACAAGGAACTTCAACTGGTCTTTGGTGCTGGTTTAGTGAGAATGTTTCACCAACACCACACCAACAAGAAGTTGCTGCAACTTAGCAGCTGTTGTGCGCATCCACGTCCTGACACATCAGTACGATGCTAGGCATCGGAAGGAGATCAAGGCATAGTGCTTGGCATTAGTGTAATAGTTAGAAAAGCTGGTTCTGATGGTGGTGGCACACAATGTGCAGTCGCTCCAAGGGGCCTCAAGACCTTGTTGCGGGTATCCAGGTTCAGAGCCCCTCCCAGGAGTTGAGTCCCTAGCAAGGATTTGCAGACACGCAAAAGGTGGTACTCCCATTACAGTTGCACAAGCCGGTGCCTTTCAACCAGAATCTCACTCCTCTGCTAGAACTCCTGCTTTTCAATGTCTTCCTCGCACCCCCTTTCTTCTGGTCCATGCTTTGCAAGAACAAGTAGCTCCTGCAAAAGGCCTGACAGACCAGTATCGACTCACGCCACAAGAAGCAAATGATGCAGAGCGGAGCGCTAGGAGGCGCACGCTGCGTACCTTCCGCGGGGGAAGGGTCCTCCCCAAACGAATTGATTGCCTGGTGTCAGAGACTGCGGTGGCAGCACGGTGGGCCGACCCGGGGTATGCGTACCCCTCCGCGGTGCGTGGCAGGACTGCAGTTGCTGCCAAAATAATGAAACTTGCAATTGAAGAGGGAAGCCAGGAAGATGATTCTGGGGGGGAAAGCTTAGATGAGCGGTTGAATGCAGTTGTTTCCAAGGATGCCTTTGAGATGCCATTTGAGGGGTTGAGAAACCGAGGAGTGGAACCAGTGGCTGACATGCAGTGGCCCACGGACAGGCACTTGGATCCTGAGCTTCATTGGTACTCAAGCGAGTTTGTGGCTGACAGCAGCTGGGGAGTGAATCAGGCAGACTTGGTCAAGAGGATCTTGAACCCCCCCAAAACGGCGGCTGAGGCAAAGAGGGCGACAGTCGACCCTTCTGAGGCGTTCGAGATGTTCAGTGATAGAGCCAAGGAGGGGACGCTCAACCCTCCCTCCACATCATATGGCAGTTCCTTGGATGGCCTGGACCATGCAAGTGGACGAGCGGACTGGAAAACTTTTGGACAGGTCGAACGGGAGGAGACTGGGAGAGATCCTGGAGTGAAATCCAGAGGAGTTCCTGGAATAAAATTTGGAAGAGATCCTCGAATGAGAAGGGGACTCGATCCCGAGGTGAATCTGCAAGGGCGCCCGAAAAGCGCAGGCTTGACAGGGGGGGAGGTGTTTCGTACGCAAGGGGGAAGCAAAGATGTGTGGAGGCGGGGGGGCCGAGAATTTGAGGGGGACAGGCAAGAAGGGGTACGGAGACGGGGGGAGGGGCTTTCAGGGGGAAAAAAAGAACGAAGTTTGCGGGGGGCGGTGCGTGACCAAGGCGAGAAAACGGAGACCGGTCAGAGAAGAGGTTTGTGGGGTCAGCCAAGGGGTTTTCGTCATGTGGCGGGAGAGACGGTCCCAGCAGGAACGTCTGCGGTCCCTGAGACGGAAAGAGTTTCAGGGGTTGGAGCCGGAGAAGCCAGCGGGGAGTCCGGTTCAATTGCGAGGTTGGAGCCTCAGTACGAAACCGGGTTCGGGGCCGACTTTGAGACTGGGTTTGTGACTGGGTACGCTGGCCAGGAAACCGGGTTTGAGCTCGGGTTACAGCCGGGGTTACCAAACGGTGGTCTTGATGAGGAGCTAGAGCTCTTTGTAGAGCGGCTGGGGGCCTTGGGAAACCCTGCCCAAGCAGCCGAAAGCGATCTGGAGACTGTTGCGTTTGGATCGATTCCCCCGCCACCTGACTTTGGCTATGCAGAACCAAAAGCTCCGGGTGGTGTTAACGCCCAAAGCAGCGCCAGAGGCGGTGATCCGTTCACGTGGACAGCTCAGGACCGTCGATCCTGGAAGTCACGGGAGCCGCCAGTTGAAATGTTCAACAACTTCCTACCGGCAGAGGAGTCCCGCAACTCTGAAACCTCCCCTTTCGAAACCGCAGCGCCTGTTGGTGCATGGTCCCATTTCCAAACCCCCGAAACCCACAATTTCGAAACTAGACGGTGGGAGCCCAAGAACCGTGACAACCTCCCCCCTGCCAGCATCCCACCTTTTCATCCTCTTCCCATTAGAGTGCCTGAACCTCCCTCCAAGGACGCACCCCCACTAACCCCGTCGCATCTAGTATGGGGGGAGAACCAAGAACTGCCTCCAACGGCGTTTTACGACGAGCACTTTCTGGAGCGGTTCCAGTATACACGCCCCCCCCCGAACCGAAACCTGCCGCTGTTTCTAGATATCAAGGGGCATGACACTTCGCCTGAGCTGCCGATGCCCCCACCCTACTACCCCAAGAATAGCACGCACGAGAAGTCAGGTGAGAGATCCCTCAATCCAAACCGTCACCGCAGTCTCGTCTCGACGTCATTCCAGGGACGTCCTTCAAGCTTCGGGTGTCGCCTTCAGAGTGAGCTTTGCTTCTTTCTCAGTCATTCAAACTTGTGCGTATTGAGTTAGCGTATGTTTCAAGTCATGCTCTTTTTGCAACTGTTCGTAATGTTCTGCCGTTCTTTTGAACTTGCCCTGGTTGTTTGTTATTTTGGCTCTCAATTCTGACCATGCTGTGCCTTTATGGAAAACCGTTTGTCTATTCCGTCCTGATAACGGCGCTTTGAAGATTGAGTTTTGCCTTTATTTGTCTTTGGAGTACGTGTTTGCTAAAGCCCATTTTTCCGGGTGGGCTCTCTTCGACCTTTGTCGATTTGTTAGGAATGGCTTGTCTTTGATCAGGTCGTTTTTGCTGGGTTGCATCCGTTTCGTTTGGTTGTACTCCAGACCCGGTGGCTGGGCAGCCTACGCGGACAAAATCGTTGCGAAACTGACGTACACTGGTTTTCAAAAATAGCAGCTGTAGCCGTCAATCATTGGCAACGCTTGATCAGGGCTTGACGTCATCAGGAGAACACCCCAAGCAGACGTTCGCTATACTTGCAGATTCAAGCGGCCTCTATTCGCGCTAATATTGTAAGAGTTGTTGAGAATCCTCTCGCCCCATGGAGACGATCCAAACGTACCCACCATTCCTGTCAAGCTTTGCGAAGTTTCTAGGATTCCGGAATTCGGACACAAAATCCGGAACTTTCGAAATGCTTAAACTTTGGAGAATTTTTCATACTGAAATTGTTGTACATGCCCACTGCCCGGCTGCCCCCACGGTAGAATCCCTCGACCAAAGCTCCCGGGGCCGTTACTCAACAGGAGTCCGGAAAACTCAAGATTTTGGAGTCCTGGAAATCTGAGAATTCTGGTATTTGTGTTCAGGCCCACTACCCGGCTACCCTCACGGTAGAGTCCCCCGACCAAAGCTCCCGGGGCCATTACTCAACGGCAGGCGTCCCGACTTCTGGGTCGTCAATCCGAACGACAACAAGCTGGTCGTTCCCCGTGCGGCTAAAATGGCGCCCCGGGGGAAGCTACCGGGCGTAAGAAAGCTGCTAGAGGGCTGGACGGGAAGGGGGGTAAGAACCCGGGAAGAAGTCCTGGGCGGTCCGCTCAGCGACGCGGAAGTGGCGGATCTGATCGAGGGGTCGGTGCACGATCGACGGGAGGTGTATCTAGGTGAGTGTTCGTTTCAGTTTCTTTTGTGTGTATCTCGTCAATATACACACAAAAGAAGGCGACTGTGTATTTCAGCCTCTTTTTCCAAAGCGTTTCTAGGTGATTGCGCACTTCAGCTTCTCGTCCCTGCATCTCCATGTCAGCATCTTCTCGCTATTTCTAAGAAGGGTATCTAAATAAACGAATGTTTCATAAACGTATCTTGGTGGTTCAGCGTCTTTAAATGCTCTCTGGTTGTCGTTCTTCGGTCATCTTCCGTAAGTTTTATAAACGCAGCTTTCATCCGCGTTTCTTTGGTCTAGTGCCGAAAGTCGAACTCGAATGAGTGGTTTCAAGGGATCAAGCTGCGTGTTGCTTAGCTTTTTGAACGGTTTCCGTGAAAGTTTTACGAGGAGTTACTCCATTTGTTAAAACATAAATCGTGGTTCAAGGCAAGAGCTGTTGTGGAACGCCATCTGGATGCCCTATCTTGGTCGTCTCCCGTTTGTTTCGAAAGCGCAATCTCCTTCTGAACTACTCTAATTCAGTCCCGATCGAAGGACGTGTCTGGGCTTTCGAGTAGTCTAAGTTTGGGGTCCTCGGGATCCATGAGCAGGTTCTGTAAAGGGTCTTCGAAGAGAGACATCGCACGGTGGTTGCGATGGGTTTTTGAAAGAGACTGACCCGTAAGTGGAGGCCATTCCTGGTCTGCAATATTTTCGTATCTGCCACCAAACGCCAAACATGGGTTGCCAGAGCACATTGAAGTGCTCGTTCCTCCTTGCGCTCTTTCCTCGCCTCGGCAGTACTCAATACGACGGAGGCTCTGCTCGCTGTCTTCCGGGCCACCACTGACGAGGCGCCACGTGGCACATGCGCAGGGCGCGACGGGCTGACGTGGAACATGGTCGGCCTGATCCACACGCACTGGCGGCGGCGGCCGGTGTGCAAGGTCAAGTGCAAGGGCATCTTCACCGTTGACATGCCCAAGCTTCTGCGCGAGCTCGAGGTGACGTCAGCGAATCTGGATTCAATCAAAACTTTTTTCAACGGTTGGCTGGGCTTGGAGTCTCTTCTTCAGGGGTGACTGCAAGGGCATCGTCACCGTTGGAATTTCCAACCTTCTACGCGAGCCGAGGTGACGTCAGTCGATGCTCCTCCTCTTCAGTCGGTTCCTCTCATTTGATTTCAAAAGAGAATCACTTTTCCTAACGTTTGGCTGCGCTTTGAAACCTTCTATCTCTTTCATTGATGCGGCGTTGATTGCAAAGACCTCCTCACCGTCGAGCTTCGGAGGAGGTCCAAGTGACGTCAGCGGATACCACGCCTCAACCGGATAATCTGACGAAGACCACAAGAGGGAAGATGCGTTTGCTTGAAGTAAAGCGCACCGTCTCTTTGAATAGGAGACGCACATTGCCTGTGAAGGCCTACGCTTCAAAGGTTATTCGAATCTCTTGTCATGTTCCTCGCTTGTGAGTAGCACTTTCTCACCGTTCAAAGCCCAGAGGAACTTTGAGGTGACGTGAGTTGGTTTTCTTTTTAATCACAAGACTTAACGAGGCACACGTCAGAGAGAGCCCAGGATGTCGTGACCAGTTTTCGTCCTCGTAGCATCTTTCTAGTTGACGTGCAAAGTTCTGGAGAGCTTCAAGGGGCGTCAGCGGACGCAGCTTTGTTTGCTTACAACACATACATATGCGCCGCACTAATACCTATTTTAGGCGGGCTTCAAGTCTTGCCAGTTACGAAACGGCAACGTCAAGCGCAAGGGGGTCTGTACTGTTTTTCTGCTGGGTATTGGTGCAAGGTTGGATGTCATTAGCCAATCCACGTGTTCCTTTTCACGTAGTTCGCGATTACGTGGAGCATTTTTCCTTCGCTGCGCTCTTGAAATATTCAAGATGTGTCCTCCATATTCTCCGCCGCAAAAGCATCGTTGCTGTCAACATGCCAGCGACCTTGCGCGGAGCCAGAGTGACGTCACCAACAGCGAGTCTCCGTTTCAGATGCCCATGGGGACAGCAGATTGCATGCGTCTAGATTGTCTTCTGAAACCTTCTCTTTTTTTGCTGCGACCTGGACGTTTCGTTGCGAACTGTTGAAGCCATTTGCGACGGTGAAGTCATCACACCTTTTTCGCTATCCCTGGCGTCTCGAGGTCAGTGACGTCGGCATATACCATGAAAAACCGTTTTTGAGACGACGTGACATCAGCAAACTCTGCCCCAATCTTTACCCCTCTCATCCCTCTTCTGCGCAGAGGTCCGCGGGCGGGCGCGTTATCTGGCAGCATTGCGGCACCGTCCTCCTTTTCAGGGGGCGAAACTACCACTGGAGAGACCCCCCCATTCTGGAGCCGCCCGAGGACCGCAGCGCAGACAAGAAACTGACGCAGGAGACCAATCCGGTGGAGGACCGGAATCCGGGCGGAATGGGGAAGCTTAAGAGTCTGCAACTGAGCCGAAGGATGAACCGAGAGCCGCCGATTGTCTGGTTGGGTGAGGCAAACTTTTGCTGTGACTTGCTTCCGAGGATGGACAAACATATGCCGGCTTTCAGAGCGATCTGCTGTTTTCTCCGGTCGGAACGAAGTGTCAACGCACCTTCTACTCATTCTTCATCGTAGCAGGTGGTGTGACTGTACACGCCTTCCAGCCTGCATCTCTTTTAGCATTTTATTGTCCTGCACATGTAGGGGGACGGGAGGCAGAAGTAAGACTGTGCACTTCTTGGGATTGCGTTCAAATATATACGGAAAACCGGATCGGTTCGATGCATGGGTTCTGGAGTTCCTTCCAGAAAAGGATCCCTCGTGAAATCGGGATTGTGGTCTGACGTCACGGGATCCACGACGGAAAACTTACCCGTCGTAATGTCACGTAGATTCTTGAGAAGACAGGGTTCGGGAAGTGGGTTGAAAGCCCGTCGCTCTCATCGGCAAACCTTTATTGCGAGTCGGACATCATCCTCTGCAAGGCGCCCTGCGACCCGACTTTCAACTACTAGACCCGATTGCGTTCATCTAGTCCACGTACAGTCCCTGTTAGAGGGATGTGTTGCTGCACTGTTGATCCACGAAGAGCCGCACCGCTCTCGCGATTCAACTCTTAACAGGCGGTAGGCCTGAAGAGGTAATAGCGTCTTTAGCATAGCCGTGCCTTCGTCGCTGCGCCAAGCAGGAACCTTCCAAGCAGGAAAGGAGCGGTGAGCTCACGGTACATCCTTTCTTCCGCAGACAAGAACGGGTACTACGGTGGGCTGGTGAACCTTGTCCGCACATTCTTCTCCGAGCCGAAGAACGACCTGGCCGTCATCAAATGCCCCAAGTTCGTCCCCGGGGACGTTGTCAAGCTCGCCATCCAGCTCAAGGTGATTTCCGATCTTGTTAATAGCAAGGCCCAGTAACTAGTAAGCTTTTTCGGCTTTATGAAAAAGCTATGTTAAACGATCATTACTCCGCACCCGCACCCACCCTAGACCCCTACCCAACCCCACCCGTCCCGTTTATCGGCCCTTACCATTCCATCCAAGGTCAGCGCCCTCACTGCCCGGTTGTTGTCCCCTGGGGCGTAGAGGCCAAGGGCCTTTAGCCCGCCTGTTCACTCCCGGTCACAAAACGCTCAGGAGGAGCGTTCCTTCTTCTGATAATGGATACATGGTCAAGCTGAAGGTGAGCGCCCTCACTGCCCAATTGCTGTCCCCCGGGCGCGAAGGGCCTATAACCCGGCTGTTTATTCCCGGTTAGAGACTTTCAGGAGGAGCGTTACTTTTTGAGACGTCGTGGTGATGGGTGTCTGAGACGTTGTCAAGCTCAAGGTCAGCGGCTCGCTGCCCGGTTCGTATCCCCCGGGCGCAATTCTTGTGGGCTTTCCGGATACTATATCAACTTAAATACATAAATTTAGGAGAGAAGCTATTGAGGCGTGGGAGCCAAGAAGAACCGGCTGTTTGCTCCCGGCGACAGAAGCTGAGGAGAGCGCCCGTCCCTATCCGGCATTTCCCGAACACGTTTCGAGGTCTTTCTTAGGCATTTGGGGCCAGGTTCTGGGGCTTTTTCTAAGAGATTTCGGAGGGAGGCGGCGCGTCAACCATCGTCCAGAGTGCGGTGGGCTTGTGCGGTCGGGAGTGGCGACATATCTGAGTTTGGCATGTCACTCATTGCGGTTCGTTTATGCTTAGTGTATCTTATCTACTATCTGGTAAGACGAGCGCGTGTATATGCTCGCTGCAGAATAATTTGATAAGATGATTTTGATTACCTCGGACAATTCTTTCCACTTAGCTGCCTTTCGCGCGACCCATGCGGATCTTCCCTTCGTTCCCTCTGTCGCCATGGCACAACACAAGGCTTTATGAAAAGCCCTACGTATTACCACAACCAAAGTTCCCGTGATTCACCTTGTAGATCCCCTCTCTTCATACCTGGAAGGACTACATCTGCAGGCCCTGGTTCCGGCGGATGTCTTCCAGGTCGACAAGGACCGGAAGCAGCGGATTGTCCTGTACCGGAACGCCGGCTGGGAACGACCCACAGACGAGCTCACGAGGCTAGCGGAAACCAATGAACGGCCCACTTACTACCCGAAGGGGCCTCCCCAGAAGCGGAGGACTCTTCGCAAAGTCGTGGAAGAGCAGCTTCTGGGAGAAGAGGAGGAGGACGAAGGGGTTTGGGCAAATTGGGGAAGCCTTTTTGACGCGCCAAGCGATGAAGAGACTGAGGAGCTGTAGTCGTGGGAAGGATTACTTGACATATCCTGCTTTGAGCTGTAAGCTTCCTCCGCGCGCGCGCGCCCTGCATAGGGCATTTACACCGAGGCTTCGTACCTGCAGCTGTTCTCACCGTAATCTGCACGTGCATATGGCTGCACCAGGCTCGAAATGCATGGCGGTTGCCCCAATGTATGCATCCATTTTCCGGATGTGTATGCACGGTCTTGCATTAGCCTGTAGCCTGGCAGGGCCACATCGTGAGACAAATTTACAAGGCTCTTAAGCATGGGCATCCCGCTGACCGGCCCCACCCGGCTTAAAGCCCTACAATAAAGCATGTCTTACGAAGTTCAGTATATACACGGTAGCTCATGCAGTACGGCCGTATTGCATGTGACCGGTTTGCTGAACGCGGCCGGTTAGCATTAAAATCTGTTCAATTGCTTATCAACGCGTGCGGCCACTTCGATATCCAAGCATGAGCTAGTCTGCGATTAGCGGATGAGCCGGGCTCTGCCATGCATGCCTGGCAAGAGGTCGACCTTGCCTGCTTCAGATCTTATGAACAACAGTGCAACCGGACGCGGCAGCATGCAATCATGGGGCTTGCGCTTGCAGTATGTAGCTGCGCTTTGAGCTGATCAGGCAATAACTTAAGTTCGACCAGCGATGCATGTATCCCTAAAGGATCATGATCGCCTACGATTGACATACATATACATGAGCAAGTAAGCATTCCATGTTGATAACTAGACGCCTCCTAGAAAAGATGTTTGATTCTGTGTATTTCATTGGTGCAAGACACAAGACTAAGGCACCACACTGAGCAGTGGTGTTTGACCAGGCCACGAAGCTTAAGCAATGATGACGTGTTATATCCACCATGTGTTGTTGTACCAGGTAATCGCTCTGCATCCTTGCGCCTCTGGTTCGAGACCCTTTTTTTGGCTGACAGTCAGTCAACGTACCTTTCTATCAGAAGCGTTCACGAGCCGCATGTAAAACCGTTGAACATAAGCATGACCACCATTCTTCGCGCCAACCTCAGCATGCTAAGAAACAGAACCCGAGCTCTTCCGAGGAATGAAACCCACTTCTTACTTCTCGGACCAAGGGGGAATGTTCTTGCCCACAATCTTAGCAGGAGTTACCTTCACCAGGTTGCCGGGCTTTCCGGGGATGGCACCCTTCACTAGAAGGCACTTGTTTTCAGCGTCAACACGGATGACCTGGCAAGTGAAAGGAGACACGACACGTGTGAGCCCTTACAACTTTGTCCAAAGGGCTCACGCACACAATGAGGTGGTCTTGAGTAGCCTCGGAGAAATGTAATCAGCGTTCGTGACCGGACTTGTTGTCGATGGCTTGACAACATTCTGACTACGATAACAAGGTCTGCAACAGGGGGTGCTTTGATTGCACAATGAGCATCGAAGGGCCTCTGGTGATGTGATAAGCGGCCCCATCGCATCTGCTTCTAGCTTTCAGAGGATGCCACCCACTTATTCCAACAGACGTACTCTTTGCAAAGGATGCAGCTTATAAGACTCCTTAGTACAGATGGAACACTGCCCAAGCTTCCAACCTTTTTGCAACTCTGCCAAACCGAGCTCACCAAGCAAACAAAGCAGGGACGGTGATTCGGAACACCGCGGAAGACCAGAAGACAGGCTCCCAATTGCGTGTAGCTGAAGGCAGTCAAATAGATGGTTACAAGACGAAAGCTGAAGGTGGTCATGTGGATAATAATAAGAGGAAAAGAGTCTGAAAGTATTGCAGCAAAACCAAGCGGTTGCTCGTGGATAGCATACCTTGAGCTTTCGGATCTTGACAAACTTGTTCCCCATCTTGCCAGCCATCTTCCTTCCGGGGTATACGCGCCCGGGGGACGTACCGGGCCCAATGGTACCCCCCTGCCGGTGACTTTTCGACCCGTGAGTCATCAACCCGCGGTGAGCGTTGTACCGCTTAATGATACCTGGAGACAGATGAGGATTAGCAAACTGGACAGGGGGCCACTTATTCCCGAGAGTGTCTGCAACCAGCAGTGAACAGGGGAGTGTCTGCTACCAAACCCCGAACAGGGGCACAGCTGAGAAAGACAAAGTGATAAGTAAGCACCGCAGAAGGTGGCTGCTGCGAGAATGTGGTGCGCTGTCAGGACCAGTGTCTGAAGACCTCATGAGACTGTCGCTTAGAAGAAGCGCCAGCCTCTGCTTCAAGGGATCTGTGTCTAAACGCCTAGCAACTCTGACTACGGGTGCGCTGCTCGACCGCTGTCTTTGCACTCTGGTAAAAGGTGCACTTTCTGTATGATGACCCTCGCATGAATGCCTAACACTCGTCACGACTGGAAACCAAGTGCGCTGCTCAAAATGCTCATCCAAAGGTCCAAGAAGAAGTGGAGGATAACTATTGAGAAAACCTTGGTACTAATGTCCATGTCTTCCAGGCTGCATTACAGAAAGCAGGTACCCTCCATCGACCATCTTTTGGACAAGCTAATCAGGCTAGCTTTTTAGCACTTTTTCGGCCTGCATTCCGCTCGAGATATGCAGAGCAAAGCCTGCCCAATTGCTCAGTCACCGGCAAAACATGACACTCGTTTCTGCACGAAACTTCGATTCAGAACATAAAACCTCCTCGTAGAATGCAATGACAAGGCAAACAAGGAAAACACCACAACCGCAATCTCTCTTCTTTAGGGTTTCGGCTGTGACCACCAACAGACAACCTTACTGGCAACTTTTTGAAGTTGACCAACTGTCTAGGACCCGAATCACTTGTTACTCTGACCTAACCGCCCAAACCCACCCGAATAACCGATCAACCTGGGCGCCTATCTTGATTACAGGCCTGTTATCTCGCACGAAAGTTTCAGAGTGGACAACAAACCGAAGCTCAGCCTTACCCTGCGTCCCCTTTCCGATGCTCTTCCCCCTCACGTCCACCATATCGCCCGCGTTAAACATGCTGTAAATGTCCAACTGCTGCCCGGCCTCATAACCCGCCGACTTAGACAGCCGGAACTCTGTCAAGTGTTTCAGCGGGGGTGCGCCGACCTTCTCCAAGTGCCCTGTCTCAGGCTTATTCAACCGCCTGGGCGGCTTGTACCCAATCTGCACAGCTGAGTATCCGTCCGTGTCAGGTGTCTTCACCTGCGTGACAATGTTCCCGTCGTGGAAAGCGATAACGGTTACCGGGATTGCATTCCCCTCTGCGTCGAACACCTGCATCATCCCGGCCTTGTTGCCGTAGACCCCCACTCCAGCTTCGTAGGAAGCCATGGCCACCTTCGACCCATTGCTAACCCCAAGCGACTGACCCCGCCTGCCTGAAACACTCAAACCCTGGAATGCGCTCACAAGGCGCTGAGGGCAAGAGTCCCGTCTGCTGCTCGTCCTAGCGCCGAAGCAGTTCTGCACTACGCCCCCTGCCTTTAGGACCGCTGAGGAGGCCATTGGGATGCCTTCAATTCCACCGCCACCGGGGACGAAGCAACAAAGAGCGGCTTGATCAAGGAAAGGGGCTTTTATCCTTAGATCGTGAAAAATCCTCGGCCCCAATGCGGCTCTGGCTCATGCAAGGCTGTTACCTCCCGAGCTGTAGCCCCACTTCCTCCCTTGACCGCGCCAGCCACTACCTAGTACCTTCGTAAGTGTGTTCCTCAATCAAGACTTCAGCTACCGTAACTAGGACTAGGTGACTCTCTGCTCCAGTTCACGTAGGTTCAGTATTAAAAGGGCGTTGAACTCGTCGGATCAGGAAGACACGGAGGGGCGTCTATTCTCACCATAAGATCTTACGTATTAAATTCGAAGACCATTTCAATTTTCATAGCGAGAGTTCAGTGGGGTTTAACCGTTTAACTTCTCGAATCTCAACCGTTTGTTTGAGTGGGTGGTGGATTTCAAAACAGGGTGTTTTGAAATATCCAGGGGGTAATTTATAAACAAGCTTACGTGAAAATAAACAAAACGAAATGGAGAAATCTTTGACTAATCGGAAGTGTGAAAGGGGTCGTGCCACTTCGGTTGCATATGGAATTCGAGGAACAGGCTGACGAACGTCGCCGTGCAGGCTGATGTCGCCGCGACACTCAGTAGCCTGGCCCGGATAACTCTCAAGAAAGATAATAGTAAGCCAAGATAATAGTAAGCTCCGACTAACACTAAAAACCCTAACCTACAAGGAAACACCCGCTCCGCACCCGTACCCACCCTAACAACCTTACTAGCCCTACCCGTCACAGTGCGGTTACCTTACTATTATCTGGGCTTACTATTATTTTTCTTGAGTTTCATCTGGCCCGGGCCGGTGCGCGGCCGCGAAGCTTGAAGTTGGCCGGATTCGCCGGGAAGGGCTGTGAGGAGAAATCTGAATAGCGTACAATCTTGAATTTCTTGATCTCAGGTTCCGGATCTCAGAACATTCCGGATTTGCGGAAGCAACCGCCGGGGGTTCGATCCTCTCCTATTGCAGAACCCCTCTTACAATGTCAGCGGAATTTTCGCGACCACCCGGTGAAATTCGAAATACGATCCGAGCCGTTCGATGCAAATTTAAAGCAAAGCTAGGGCCTAGATCCTTTGTCCGCGACCGGCGGAGTCGTACGGGACATACTACAGGTGTCGCCGCCGGCCGGTCCCGAGATTGGGAAAGGTTCTTGAGATTATATAGGGGTTTTGTACGCTGTTATCCACACCCGCCCTCCCAGCTAGGCCCGGGGCGGCACTACCGCCGTGGACACTGGAAACCGGATGCGAATGGCAACCGGGCTACAATTTTACAAAGTCCCTACCGGTACACTGTCACCTCTATCGAAACCGTCCGATCATGATCGACGGCTCTGATGAAAGGAGCTTGCTTGCAACCTCATCATGATGCTCAATCATCATTGAAGATTGAGAATTCAATTTATGGTAAGGCGGTCCAACCTGGTCAAAGGAGAGCTTGAAGGGAGTCGAAGGGACAAATGGCTGCGATGCAAGACACGAGATTCCCGGTGAGTCGACAATAAGCTTCTCTCCCAACAGCTCTCTATAGCAGATTGAGTACTTCGTCGAAAAGAAGATGTGATACCCGGCGTTGCGCAATGGGCTATGGGGGCCCCCAGGGCCCAAAGAGGATTACGAGTAATTTACGACTCACGAGTCGCCGGTATGTACGGCCCAGGGGGCGCAGATTATTGCATGATGCAGATGACGCTCTTCTCGTTCCACCCCAGAGTCCGACTGTCAGAAGTACGTGCACACTGCACAGCACTGAACACAGGACTTGAATCGAGTTTCGACAGCCAATTCCGAATTTACGTGTTCATGCCTGCACATGCCCGCACAGAGGAGGGGCATCGATTTGTACACACATGCAGCATGCTACTATTTTGGGTCCATCCCCGGGGGAAGGGTGGGATTGGTGTGCACTGTGGGTCCTGGGCCCTGGCATGAAACTCAAGAAAAATAATAGTAAGGTAACCGTACTGTGACGGGTAGGGTTAGTATGGTGGTTAGGGTGGGTACGGGTGCGGAGCGGGTGTTTCATTTAAGGTTAGGGTTTTTAGTGTTAGTCGGAGCTTACTATTATCTTGGCTTACTATTATCTTTCTTGAGAGTTATGGCCCTGGCCCCTGGGGGTTTGAGGTTCAAAATTAAACTTTATACTCAAGATTGGGTACAAATTTGGTACAATGGTCAGCGGCGCGCGCTGGATTCGACGTACGGTAACCTGACCGTCTACCTACCGGTACTTTCAGTTTCAAATTCCATGAAGTGCGCGCCAGGCTCCAGCCTGGAGAATTGATCTACCGGCCTATTACCGTATACGGTATTTAGGTGTACCCAACTTCCAAGGCCTGACCGCGTCACCGGGTGCGGGTGTAGAGCGCGCCTCGATACCTACGCGGGCCTCATGTACACCGGTACGTAAGTAACAGTCCAGTTAATCTCCGGGTTAGGGGTTTTTGCACTCAGGTGGCCGGGGACTGGGGCTTCAGCAGGCCGCAGCTGTACTGTGTGACGTACGGGAGGACGGTTGCCGTAACATGACAATGCCGTCACACCAGGCAAACGTCACCGGATGGAACTTGTCATCCGGCTGATTCAACCGAGGGGCGTCCGGTCGGCCCAAAGCCCAAGGAACCGTGGTAGGTATAGGTATACTTGGGGTGGTACGTGGGTGAAACAAATCTTAACAGACCGGCCCGGTGAACTGTTGGCCTTGGTAGCGGCTGGCGGGGGCCGGGGGGCCGCACGATTTGACACCCTATGTCGAAAACTCCAGGACGTCCTAGCGAAACGTGACCGACAATGTAGGAGAAGCCGACCGACTGCGGAGTCCGGAGTCCGGACTAGTCGGTCGGCCGCAAAACCGACTTGGATTTGAATCTCTCCAGGCAAATGATCATGGCTTAGTAGAATCCGACCGGATCTTTCTGTAAAACCGGCTGCTTTTGCGGTCGGATTGAAATGGAGTCCCGATTCCCGACCCGATCGGGTAATGTACGGACCGAGAAAGACCGGTGCTGATCACTGACACTGACAGTTGAGCAAGTGCTTTGCTACGGAGCCTGCCAGGCGGCCCTTGAGTAACTAAGGTACTAACTGCGCACATAGGTGGGTAATGCCGAATATATAGGTTATCTTTGTAGATTTGAGCATTGATAAGCTGCAAATTTGCAAGCTCCTGTCCTGATTAAAACCTAAGTACTTCTCATAGGATAGGTATTCATCGAACTGGGACGGCAGGGTTATTTTGATGCCGTATACCGAAACCCTTCTTATACTCGAGTCTCTATATTTGGGTGGGATGGGCAAACCCCAAGCTAACTCTACCCCGTTTCCGGATTTTTAGCTTACCATATCTCTACCTATATTGAGGTTTTCTAAGAGTACATATTGCAGCTGCAACTTCGCTCTTATTGACCGCCACACCGAGGTTTGCGCAAGTCGCGAGTTACGTCAGGAGTCAGGACTCAGGACTCAACTTGGTCCTCTGACATGCAGATTGGAGATTGTCCTCCCACAAAGTTTGGCGGCGGTCTAATTTCCCAAGCTTTAGATTTAGCAGTGGCAATATTTAAACACGGTCGAGGTCTTTCGGCTGTTGTCATTGACATCACCCTGCTGCAGCTGGGCCTGAGCAGGGATGCTCACCAATGCGCAGTTCACCACAGAAGGAGATAATCTCCGGATTGAAGTGTTCAGACGTTCGCAGAACGCTTCACTTGTTGAGCGCGAGACTTAAATCATGTAGCTGGCGTAGATCCCAAGCGTTGCTGAGGATTGAGGCTCCGTTGGCCCGTGTTTGATAGATCTTTGTTTCGCAAGGCAGCCATGAGGTTGCTACGTGGAGATCTCAAGTGCACCAGGCTCTTCTCTATCATCTTCCTTTACTGCCTCGTGACCGCCCTTTTGATCTTCGGCGCCCTCCAGGTGATTGTACTCAGTTCCCAGGATTACAGCGTAACAAGCCAGATTGACATCCGGATGGCAGAGTCTACCAACCCGGGTCATGTTGAGGAGCTGTCAGACGCCTTGTCAAAAGTTGCAGAGCAGGTGGACAAGCTTGAAGGGGTGCTACTTCGCTTTCAGAATGAGACCAAGGTGAGAGAGCCGCAGCGGCCCTGAAAATGCTATTTGTGTCTGCACACTAAGCTGCTCCAAGCCTCACATCAAGCAGACACTTTCAAAGCAGGCACATTCATCCCAGGTAATGTAGCGCAGATGGTCTTTCTCTTTGGTCGCCATTTTCTTGGACTCCGTATTAAGATTGTCATTGTCTTTTCAAGCTGCCATTACTCAGCGCAAAGCACCATTCATTGAATGCAGACACGTGCGGCCAGTATTATGAACAAGAGTCGCTGCTCATTCGACACAGCTTTTGAATGCTGTCTTTGTTTAACTCAGATCTGTTAGTATGCATTGAGTGCGCATCACAAATTTGCATCGCAGCGGCCCTTTGCTCTGCCATCCTCGGACATGGCACATGCCCCCTGTCTCTTACATGATGTGACTTTGGGTGGCCCCGTGTAAGTTCACCTGACGCAGTGTTGACAACAAGAAGGGAACCGTTACAGTAGCAATGCGGCATGTACAGATTGACTTTCACCTCGTTCAGTGCACACAATAGGGGTTCCTACCCCTGATGCAGGCAGCGACTGAAAAGATTGGCCGGCGGAGCAACTTGGAGCAAGTCATCGACGGGGTGGCTCAGGAGGTGAAGGCGCTGAGAGCAGAGCGGCCAATGAACCTGTACCTGGGGGGAAGCATCATCATGTGTTGGGTTGATTTCTTCCAACAGTACTTCTATCTTGATTCTCGGGACCGGGGGTTGACACCGCACCTCTGCCAGGGCACTGTGTGGGACAGTAAGATCTCAGAGAGTGTTGAGAGAATCGTGCGCCCGGGACAGCTGGTGGTGGATGTAGGAGCGTGCGTGGGGTGGTATGCAGCCATCTTTGCAGATGCGGTGGGGGAGGCTGGGAAGGTCCTTGCAGTGGAAGCAAACCCTCGGCTCAGCGACCTACTTGCTCGCTCGATGGAGGTAGGTTGTCGCGCTTGTTGATGACAAGTCAGATGCCACCGGTCTATAAAAGTGCCACTCATTTGAAGCAGACGGGATGGTCTGCACAGGGTGCATTGATCTGCATTTGCCAACAATGCAGCCTGGGCAACAGCCTTTACGGTGCATTGCCTGATGTCTTTCAAGACTTGTCTCAGCCAATGATTCTAGGACCCTGAGGCAGCTCTGTTGACCGAAAAGAAGGACTGGCTGTTACACTTATTCGTATGACCTTCATATTTGACTAGCATCGAGGGCTTTATCTATCTCTTCAGTAAAAATTGTGCGGTCGTTCCCTAGTTCTGCTGGTTTCAAAGGTTGCACATCACCTTCCTTCACTTGTCTCCACAATTGGCCGCCAAGCGCGTCCGTCTTGGCACGTACTTTTCAGCTGAAGGTTGGAGCTTGCTTGGCCACCTTGGGTTCCATGACTTGACGCAAGTCCGCCAGTGGGAATTACCTTACAAAGATTTGAGCCATTGGCCTGTACCTTCAGAGGCCCAATGCACAAAAGGCCTGAATGTGAATGCCAAAAAACGGCGCACTCTGGTTGTGTCACTTCCGCCGTCCGCTCATCAGATATGATGACTGATCTTTGTGGATCTGGTAATAAGCCGTTCCGGTATGTTTGACCTAGAGTCGCCAAGCGGTCCTCTCATCTTGTAAGCCGTCTGGAGCTCAGATGTCACACGGAATGATCTGAATCTCACCGACCATAGCAGCTCCTTGGTAGTCTTGTCCACACCTTAAGAAGCTAGATCCACAAGTCTGTGTCTTGATGCAGGATCATCCACAAGTCCAAGTAGTGAACAAGGCCGTAGGGAGTGAAGACAAAAAGCAGGTCTTTGTGGAGAACGAGATGACGTGGAGCCCCGGGAACAGGGTTCTGCAGGAAGCAGGGGGGGGTGCTGTTCCAGTGGAATACACGACATTGGATACACTGCTCCGAAAAGAAGGCTGGGACCATGTAGATGTGATCAAGATTGACGTGGAAGGCCACGAGTGGCAGGTATGGGAGGGGATGCAGAAGACGCTGCTGGAGAACCCCAAAGTGGAGCTTCTCTTAGAGGTGAGCCCCGTGCTTCGTGGCAAATGGAATGCCCTGCGGCAGCCTAGGGTGGTGTCTTGCTTCGTTAGCGTTCCTTCCTTGGTATTTCTTTCTAGCCTTATTTTAGAGCCAAGACTCTGGCTCTCTCTTTCCTGCGCTTCTTCCTGTCCCTGGTGTCTTTCTCGTTTGTGTGCAAGAAAAGATGTCTTTGCTGGTTATCAGATTCACTTGCTTGGGACGCTGTCGAGAAAATCATGATTAAGCAGAGTTTCTGCTCAAGTAGCAAGGAAGTCCGCTCGATCTGGTCGATAGTAAACGATAAAGAGTGACTTACTTACGCGCTTACTTCTTGGAGTCTTGACATGGATTTAACAAGACGCTATCAAGCGGTTGCTACTGAAAGCAAGCCCAGGACGACCGTCAACCGAGTGTTCAAGTGTTCACCATAAAAAACGTCAAGGCCACCGTTTGAAGCTTGCAAAACCTCCTCAATGCTCATTCTCAATCCTTACGAACTTCGTCCCTCTCCCTTTTGTAGATTAATATACAACGAGACAGGGCGAATGGGGTCGACTCTGAACGATTTTATGAAGCCTTGCAAAGCAGATTCAAGGATTTGTTCATTATAAAGCCGGACGACGGTCTGTTAATGAAAACCAGTCCATCCGAGCTGCTTGACTCCTTTGGTAACATCAACCTGTACTTGAAAAGCTAGTATAGAACAGTCACAAACCACTGCTCACTGCGTTACGGTGCGGTCGCTATATAGTCGTTCACGTAAAATACCGAAAAGTCTTGTTTGCTCTTCTGGTCAGTAGATTATAATGGCCAACTAGGACAGGGAAAGGTCAATATACTAATTTAGTTGTAGGAATTTCCTCGAGTGTAGTACCTTGAGGGTAAGGCTCGTAAGGGGCCGTCTAACCGTTTTGTATAATGGAAACAACTGCCTATAGCAAGTGTTCAATGACACGAACTCCGGAGCGTGATTCTTATTCACGCAATTGCTATTGGTTCGAAGATAGTTGGACCAGCGCCTGGTTCCAACCAACGTCTTGTCCTTCATTTTAGTTAACCAGCTTTCTCCCTTTGAATTTGCGTGCATGCAACGCCACGAGATTGTTGAACGTGGCATTGCAGTGAGCATGGATTACAGGATACAAACCATTGGTTAATGTAGTCACCCACTTTGTCATAAGCATGCTCATTGACCATGCGCATGCAACCGTACGGTATTCTACCTCGTTGAGGGTCCCAGGTACGATTCAAATAGTATTGGCACGTCCAGTGGACATGCGTACAGCACAAAAAAATCCCGATGAAGCTTAAAACTAGCTATCCCATTTTCAGTGATACTAACATCGATAGTCGGATATATCCACATGCATCATAGGGCCGCGCATGCAGTATATATGATGCATGCTTCATATGCACGCGGGGTCGCGATCGATCTCGTAGAAGATTACATAGAAATATGCCAATGATGGCGGCATTGTTGTCGGATCATTCGGGTGGATGCAGTGCATGCCTGCATTTGATTGAGTCACGGTTTTAAAGTCATACGCGGCCGGCCAAACAACTGCCGTGCATTGATCGAAAACCAATTGCTGAATCCTTGTCTTCGGGTGCGACCACATATATCCATTGAATACCTTCATATCCTTTACATAAACAACCGGCGTCATTCAAATTTGCCGTTCTCCTTAAGTCCGTGCGCATGCAACAGTATGCTCGTCCTTGGTAATTGCCTCGCGCACTTTTGTTCGCCAACATACCGCAACCCCTGTGCACAGGGCCGCAGTTTAAATCTGATCTACGAGTGATCGAACAAGTGATTGAAAGTCCCTCACGAACCAATCCGCAGCTCCTGCAACAGTAGGTCTGACCACTATTCCGCCATATCCGATGAACGCATCGGCTCCCCCTGGTCTCCGGGCCTGGAGGGAACAACCCGAATTCATTCAGCTCAATTGAAAAAGGAGCGTGACCGTCAGCTGCTGCGCCTGAGTGGTCAAAAGATGGCAGGCTGACGTGGCAACCATCGTGGGGCACTTTGATCATAAGAAGGGGGCGCAATCTACACGGACCATACATATGGCACAAGCGGCCGAGACGAGCTTACACCATGAGCAGGGGTTACGCATGAGCAGGATTGCACTCGGGCCGCTCGTTGGAAGCTCAGACCTCTGGTACAAAGTAATTGCCCGTTGGCAGCACGACACCAAGCTTACCTCCAGATCGGTGGCGCCATCGCCTATCGCCACCACCGTTGAGAAGCCATTCCTCTGCAAACGCACAAACTTAGAGGCGAGATAAGAGACCAGATGTGCTTGAAGAAGACAGGATGACGGGCAGCACTCCTTCGCGAGAATGGGGACTTGAGTGCTTCCAGCCTTTATTGATGAGGCCGAAGGGAGACCAAGGATTTGCCATGGCATCAAAGCGTGGCCTACTCGCTCGATTTGGATCAGCCTTCAATTGGTTGCGCATACCGCCAAGTGAGTACCAAAAATATCTACATTAACACATAAAAAGGCTGCCTGCCACAACTTTAGGGAGCACGGCTGCAAATCAAAGACTCTTATTCCTCGGTTTGCAGACGCTTCAAAGGCAACCAGAAGATCGGTCCCCAAGAGGAGCACCTTGCTTTAAAACAGGGCGACTGCGCTCGACCACGTGGCCACAAAGAGACGACTACTGCAACAAAGACCTGCTTAGCAACATTCAATGAGTTGACGCTTCGGGGAAATGTCAGGTTCCTCGGAATCAGGGCAGCAGAACAACGAGAACAGAAAGCTCCTTCTTGACGGAAAATGATCGCCTCGAAGATAGGGATGTCAATCAAGACCTTGCAGCGTGTTAACTTCACAGCAACAGGAATCGATCAAGGAAGAGGGAGCACAATTTTAGATGACCGGTGAGAAACCAGGGCGCAGCGACTCGACTGCGTAGTCGCAGAATTGACGACGGCGAATCGATGAGAGGTTTCGGAACGGATAACAAACCCGAGGAACAGAATCCTGAGGATAGCGAAACAGCTATTGAGACGAGATACACAGAAACCAAACTGACCTTCTTAATCTCTTCGACCGCTTTCGCTTTCCCGCCGCTCCTCGCGGTGTACTCGGCCGGGTCGAATCCCGCGTGCTCGCCGTCCTCGGTGAATAGTAACCGGTTTGCGTAAATGTGGTCGGTGGATATGTTCAATAATTCGGCGACGGGCTGCGATAATTGCGACACGCACGGTTCAAGTCGAGAGAAGCATGACCAACAAGAGTACGGGAAGAGGAGTCTCCAGCAATGCGTTGATTCTCTTCGGTAGATCCGATTTGTGGGTAGGCTCATAAACGCGGCGACAGGCTGCGGATATTACGACTATCAATGAGAGCATTCTTATCTCAAATGTTGCTTTTCCAAATTGGGAACATGAAAATTGAAAGTATCGGTCAGCGACTCGCGCTTCGCACATTCAGAGTCGAAGAAGGTCGTGGCCCCCCTAAAGAGGAGATTGAGTTGCTTTTCAGGGGTGGATCGTGCTGAGACACTGTACTCTGTGCTTTCCGGTCATCATAAAAAGGACTCCCGACCAGCGGAAGCGTATGCTGGTTCCTTTTACACGACCGAAGCTGTCTTCAGTCCCAGAAAGAAAAGTTTAATCAGAGCCGTCTTCTGAAAGTGATCCCGGGAGAGAAAAGAGCCGTGTCTTATGACCCTATCGCCGCAAGATTGAGAGCTGTTAAGAACTGATCTTTGGAATTATGTATTCTTGGAAGCACTAAGCACTATTGCTTGGACTTAGTCGGCGGATGTGCAACTGTGTGATCGTGCTCAAATATCGAAGACCTTGTCCAAGTAAAGAGGCTCATTGTAGAAAGCTCACGACGACTGGTAGGAGGCTTACGACTGGAGTGATCATGATAAGACTACAAAAGCCCACAACATCGAAATGCGTTCAGCCCACGGGCCAAGAACGAAGCCCCGATGAGAGACAGGATCAGACATAAACACAAGAACAAGATCAGTCAGCGCACATTGTCGAGATAGATTTAGAACCAGGAAATTGAAGACGAGTCACCCTGCCCAGACTATGGGAATCGCTTAGCCCACGGTAGATCTACAACGTCCCAGAACATGTCGGTTCCATGGACATCGCCGACTAAAAAAGGCGTTACGCACAGCTATTCCAATGCAAAGATTCCAGGCCCGGTAGTAAGGTATGTAAAGGCTTCGGATAGCGGCAAGCCCTCTTTGTTGCGAAGTGGAAACAGAATCTGCCGTTACCTCAATCATTTGCCGGAACCCCCCCGACACGAGATACACAGCCACGCCTCTCTGTTGCAAAGTCCCGACCAGGTCTGCGATGCCTGGGCTTAACCTGCAACGATAACGGCTCTTCTTTTGAGTCTTACTCTCCTCGTTTCAATTGTCGTTAACTTCCTCCTCCTCTGTTGCGGAGGGTGCCTTAGCAACGGGCTTGCTTTGCAATCTGACACCCGTCAAGGCAAAGCAGGAAACAGAAATAGGGCTATTGGCAACTTATGCTTCCGTCGAGTGGGGTTAACTTAACCCACGAGACTTTCGATCCCGTTGAGAATGCAAACAGTCCACATTCGCCTGCCTCAGCTTCCGCCCCTCCGACCATTGAAGTGGACAATCGTGATACCATTAAGATAAGACGAAATTGCAGAGGGGCAAAAGGATGCCCGACTACCTGCTGTTTCTTGAGTTCCATCTTCAAACGAGTTCTCTGTATAAACTGGAGGCTGACTAGATTGCTTCGACCACATGCGTCGATGTGACCCAACCTCAAATCAACCTCAAAAGATGGACGTTCTGGTCTCTGCAAAGAGCGAAAGGCCCGACCTGCAGAATAATAATTGCTCTTAGCTTTTGAGGAAAGTTAAGTGCACTCGTTTTGACACGCTGAGACACGTAAGGTTCCACATAGATCAGTAAGAGGCAGGGGAGCCCGTTTTGGTCACCTGGGGGGGTGAGCGGCCAGATACGTAGCTACGTCCTTCATGGATGGCTTGATGATGCTCAACCGGGCGGCTAAGGCCTCCTCAAACGGCACCCCGCCACCCATAGCCCTGGGGGAAAAAAGGATGATCTTTCATAAGCTTTGAATTATCCTAGTCGTTGTTTAACATTCTAGTAATTTTCAGTCTTGTTCGATAAGTTCGTGTCCTTCACAAACCGGCTGCTAAAGCCTGCTCAAACGGCACGCCACCACCCGTAGTCCTGGAAACAATCAGAATGATGTTCAGTCCACATTGAAACTTTGGTGACTTTCGAAAGGTCGAGAAGAAGGTGACCAGAGAAGACTCGGTGCTACGTTGGCTGCTCGAATTATCAGCAGCCTGCAAAGGTACCAGCTGCTGACGAACGTGTCAGCAAGTTTCAACAGGAAGTGTGACGGCCTAGATCAAAGTAGTCCCCATCTCATTCAACGGTCTGGTACGTCAAATCCATAAGACTTTGTTTACTGCTTAGCTTAGCCTGGGCTAGGTGGACCAAGTATTGATGTGCGCACCACATCGTGATGTACAGCTATCTTGATACCACAATAACTCTTCAGTTGCGCTTTGATCAATATCCAAATTCTGTTGGTCTCAGTGGTCTCACTTTCTTGTCCACTCAGCGACCGCCTCCCCGGCACCACAAAACGCCGCCAGCTCATTGATCCCCTCATCAACACACACAGTGCTGTCGACGTCGAAGCACACAGCCTCCGCGCTCCGCCATATCCGCAGGACCTCTGAAGAACCGAATGTTAAGGGGGTTTTGGAAGGAAGGCACCCGAGCCACTCTGCCCTACTTGAAGCATAATTCAAAGTAAAGCATCAAGTGTGTGACCGTTGGTGGTCAGAGCAGATAAGAAGGGCAGTGATGGTAGATCTAATCAGCGAAACAGGGTTTGGAATGCACGCTCTAGCAGAGAATAAGAGGTGTAAGCAATCAACAAGCAAGAGCACACAGGTGTAATGCTGCGATCGCTGAGCAGATGGGGCTGGATCTGAGCAGCAAAGCTTCCATCGATTTCCAAGTCTGATCCTCTGATTCCAACCGTAGTACATAGCTTAGTGGGACAGTCACCTGCGCTGGCAGTCTCCTTCACCACCGTTCCTGCCGTGTCCGCCAATGCACTGCAGGGGGCTCTTACAGGACTTATTCTCTTCGGCAGCACCCCAATGGTACTCTGCATCGCAAGAGGTCTTTGCGACACTGGACCGCAACCACACAAGCTCATTGATTCGAGTAGGTGCGTTTTGCAGGCAGGAGTGCAAGAGATTCGGTGCGCAAAGGGGGCAACATTGGATTGTCTCAGAGATGATGGCCTAGCCGATGAGAAGGATTCAAGCTGAACAATGCTGCCACAGGGGCAGAACGTGGTGGCACCAGCCATCAGGCCACTTTCTCGCTGCAGAGAGAAGGTCCACGCAATGTTCCTTCTCCCTCGCGCCAATTTAGCAAAATTTCATTTCTCCCCATGCAATGCTGCAATTTTGGCCCGGTCTAGGCAAGCGGGGTTAGGCATGGCACGATTTGTTCTCAACCGGGTTATTGCTGCGCTACAGGGTATTGATTGGGGCTCCCGAGTGCCGTCTGCCTTTTCCCTAACCTGGCTACTCGACCCCGGCCATCGCAGCTTGGTTTAGATGCTAACCCCCTGGCAGTTCAATGCTTATAGGTATGCAGACCTGCATGCAAAGGCTTGAAAGGGGGATCTTCTCCCACCTTAGGCTTTGATCCCTCTCATTTCCACTTGAAGCTCCTACAAAGAGCAAGAAAATCTTCTCAAGAGGAATCTCAAATCTGTGATCGCAGTTGCTAGTCCTTTTGTTGCCCGACAGGATACCTCCTGCGTGTGGGCGGCAGGTTCCACTCACAGCATTGCAGCAGCATATTGCGCCCTCTCCGGCCGCAATGTGTGGCAGGGCTCGGTGCACCCTCGACCCTGGGCTGGTTGCGCGAGCCACGGGCGTGCCTCCTGACAAATGGGTCGACAAAGAGAAGTGAGGAGGCATTGATGAAAGCACACCTAACATATTTGTGGGTGCGTCCTTTATTGTAGCTGTGGCCCTATTCTATGGGGAACAGGGAAAAGGCATCTTGAATACTCCAAAGTGTTGGTTTGGATCCGCAAGGCATACGTTCCTGCCACTCTGCTGATGATCATTCACCAGAAAAGGAACAAGAGCTTCTGAACATACGGTCACTCACACTTGCGCTCTGACTGTTGCTTCAAGCCCTCTCAAAGTGTCATTGTCCCCACATATCCTTATTGTGGACGCAAGTCGACTTTTTGCCCCCTTCCTTCCTGAATGACTTACGATGACCTTTTTGCTCCACTCCTCTTCCCTTTTAGTCTCTTCTTGGCATGCCACTAGTCATGTCAGACGGCCGGTCGGGGCATCTCTGACGTTCTGCCACTTTTCTTGAAATGGGAATGCTATCCTGTTGCCCCCCTCATGCATGCCTCTTGACTGTCCAATCCTTTGATCTCTCTCAGCCCGCACCCCCCCACATACTGACACACGCCTTTTGTCAACCCCCTCTTCCAGGTACCACCCGTCGTACAACTTCTCCCCAGGCCGATACGCCCCCATCCTTCGCAATGCGAGGAAGTCAGCAGACGCCTCAGAAGCCAAAGAAGATGGTGAAGAGCCCAAGGCAGCGGAGAGCGATGTTCCACCGGAGCGCATTATCCAGTGCATGAAGTGGGGCTTGGTTCCCAGCTTCACCAAGAAGGACGAGAAACCCGACTTTTTCCGCATGGTGAGGGGGGGATTATATTGCACGCTTGCAATTGTGAGCCGCTTTTGCTGATGATCGGCAAGTCCCGGGGGTAGTAGACTACGCTCCCCAAACAAGCCTGAAGTGAAGGGATCCCTCTGAGACGTCTGTGAGATGGCGAAACAAAAACAAGGTGATTCTTGATTGTCAGAGTTGGTAGGTCGACTTGGTCTCAACTTGGCTACCGGATGATTCCTGGACTAACACCACAACCACTCCAAGGTGCAACTCAACGCCCTTGATACATTGTCCTGTGAGCTTGGATCTGCTCTTGACAGCTTGTGTTGACTGGATAGGATCGTATCTGCAATGGAAGCACTGAGGATCCGTAATGTCCGTCCGAAGTAAACACCATTATGGTTTCTTGTACAAAGAAGCGAAGTACTATCAAAGCCAGAATTGAAACAAAATGGTTAACTGAATCTCTTCAACCTTAACTTTTGGCGACTTTCTCCAATCCGACTCGAATCGCTCTACGGGCGTGCTTCATCTCACTTCCCCGTTGCTTGAGTCGAGAGAACCGCAACTGAACCGACCAACCTGAGCCGTCGTTGAGACCGGACCTGAAAATGCGTGATTAATGCCCTTGCAGCCAATACGGTGGCGAGTCCAGCCATAAGCGTACGCCTGTGCTAGACTTCCTTAATAAGGATTTATCATTCAACGACAGATTGATGACTGTCTCAAGACCTGTGATATCCCGTTCGCTAAGTCCATCCACAAGTGTACGCCTGTGCTAGGCTTACCTTGTAAAGTACTCCAGGCCAAATATACAACGGAGCCGAACTGTAACACAGCTTCTCACCTGCGATTCCTTTTGTGCAGTTCAATTGCCTGTGTATGACCGAGTATGAGCCGGTACAACCGAAGCCGTTCATACTTTTTCGTCCAGCGAAACACGAATAGCTTATAAACTATCTGCTGTGCAGTTCAACGCGCGCGGCGAGTCCATTCACGAGCGCGCGGCGTTCCGGCGGCTGCTCCCGCGCAGCCGGTGCGTTGCGATGGCGGAGGGCTTTTACGAGTGGAAGAAGGACGAGAAGAGCAAGGCCAAGCAGCCGTACTACATCCACTACAAGGACGAGAGCCGGCCGCTGCTCTTTGCGGCGCTTTGCGACCGATGGGAAGACGCCGAAGGTGAGTTTTAAATGTCGCTAAGTGCATGAACCTGTTCGTTTGCTTAGCATTTTCATGTGTTTGTATCTGCGATAAAACCAACAGACTTTAGAGCGCGCTGCGGAGTCTGGGGTATGAAATTGGAGTCTCCTGATTGGTTTGACGTATGGAGGAAACTGGCGTAGGTATTGCTTATGAAGACTCTGGTGGATGCATAGGGGGACACTTTGTTGTTGCGGCGCACAGTGACCCGTTGAGAGAGGTTATCAAGGTCAGGCTTCACGGCTGCAGTTTTGACCAACCTCTCTGCCTTGTAACCACGTATTTAGCCTGCGTTTGGTTCTTATCGTTCTTTGCGTGGCGAGAAGACGGTCGAGGAGAAATTTGCACAGGGTGACTTTATCCTGCGCTTTTTTCCCTCTCGCTATTGGGGCAGTCTGATCGGGACACGTTAACTTCACGTCCCACCTCGAAAGCCCAAATGCTTCACCGTCTGCTCACTTTACACAACAGTTGCTTTCCCAAACAACCTCCTGTATAAGTAGCCTCCTTGACCCGCATAACCGTGACCACAATTCCCACCCCCGCAGGCAACGTGCTGCATACGTATACAATCGTCACCACGCGCGTCTCCAAGGCCCTCGAGTGGCTCCACGACCGAATGCCCGTCATTTTGAGCACTCAATCAGAGGTCGACACGTGGCTGCGCCCGGAGCTGCCCGTGGAGAAAGTGCTCCAGCTGGCAAAGCCGTACGAATCGCCGGACCTGGTGTGGCATCCCGTGACGTCCGAAATTGGGAAGCCGTCGTTCGACTCACCCGCTTGCGTGAAGGAGGTGAGAGAGAGGATGGCTTTCTTGATGCTTTCCTTATTTTGAGAAGGTTGTTCCGACGCTCTTGTGCCGTTCGAAGATGGAAACTTGCTTTAAGACCGCTCTGGCCCTGAAAGACGTATCCGAGTCCATTCTCCTGCTTTTTCTGTCGATCCTCTTGGCGCCGACACTAGTGGCTTTCCTCTTCCGTCCAAAGCTGAGGGACGTTTACAATGTGAGTTGCCCTTTTGGCGGCTGAGTAAGCCTTGTCAATCTCTGCTCGTTCCACGGAGGTAGGGGAAAAGCCTAGAAGCCGGTTTTCCGCTTGGCCGCCTGTATTGGAGTGGCACAATAAACTCCAGTTTGTTTTTCCTTCCTTTGGCAAGTCACTTCCCTGTCGGCAAGTAATTCATCATCATGTCATCGATTTGTTACTTCTTGTCAGTTCTATAATATGGATACTCCGTGAATTGAAACAGGAATGATTTTTGAATATCGATCATGTAGCTCTCCTTTTGCCCTGATCTTATGCTGCTATCATCGTTTACATGGCTGTCCGCTTTATTTCCTTTACGACCCGTTTTCCTTTGCTGCTCTCAGATCTACCTCCGTACTTTATGCCTTCCATAAGAAAAACGCTCGCTCATCTTTCCCTCGCTGAGTGCCCCTCGTCTCGTTGAAATCCAAAAGTGGTAGACTTAACGTCGAGGTGCCAAATTCGTTCTTACACCCTATTCTGATCTTCTTGTACCCCTTTTTGTCGTGGTTCTTTCCGATTTCAGAACCCTCTTCTTTATCGCAGATTACTCCCGACTTACTTCGCCCCTCCCACGATCTCCGTATATTAGTGAACCGTATCCCGTTTGCAAATCTTCCGTTTCGAGCAGCCTCTTCCTATTCCCAATTTTTCGTTCCACCCCGATATTTTGGTCGTCCTTACCCCTTTTCGTCGAACTTCGTCACATTTGGAATAATGACACTTTCTTTCTTGCAGGTTACCCCCACTACTGCGGCCACTAGTGCCATCGCGTCACTGTTCAAAAAGGCAGCCAAGCCGTCCGAAGCCAAAGACCGTCCGAATTCGGACGCCGGGCCGAAGCTGGAAACTGCGGAGGAAGAGAAGGCCTTCGCAGCTGCGGTCATTCCGGACCGTGACGTCAGCAAGGCGCTCGGGAAACGGAAGGACCGTTCGGAAGGAGAGGTGAATGACGACCGTCCGGAGCCGGGTTTGGGAGCGTCCGGGGAGGGCGCTCTGCCGTCCGGAACGGGTGTGAATGCGTCAGACGCGGGTGTGAACACGGCGGGGGCCGGTGTGAATGCCCCCAAAGCGAGTGGATGGACGTCTGAGGCCGGTGGAAGAGCGTCCGAAGCGAGTGGAAGAGCGTCCGAGGTTGGTTCAAAAGCGTCCGACGCCGTTGGGAGTGCGTTTGAAGCAGCGTCCGAAAAGGCTGGCGCAGCGTCTGACGCAATTACGGATGCGGTCGGGGGTGTGGTTACGGAGGCAATTGGCGCTTTCGGCAGCGCAGCTGAAAGACTCGCGGAATCGGTTGGTGTTACCGCGAGCAACAAGGGAGAAGACAAAGCGGAAGGGGTAGATTTGCTGCGGGATCACGAAAGAGGACCGGTTGAAAGTACCGGGCATCAAGAGGAGGCCGGAGAGCCGACCGGCACGGGGAAAGATGGTCGGAAGAAGGAGGATCAGGAGAAAGAAGCCCCGGGGCAATGGAGGTCACGAGCGCCGGGCCCGTCTCCAAAGTCGGAAAAGAAACGAGGGCAAGGGAAAAGCGCGGCGCGGCCAGTGGGAACGCACGTCGAACCGAGCCCCAAGAAACAAAAGACCTTGACGGCTTTCTTCACAAAGCAGTGACGTACGGAAGGCATACGTGTCATGTGTTTGGGGCTTGTTTTACGGGTTTTGGCATTGATTGCGCGTCACTCTGGCTAGATTGTACATATCATACTTCACCTGGGGTCCAACATTAGCTAGAAGAATGAACATCAAAAAAGAAGTCGGCGTGTCTCCGTGAAGATGAAGCTCACGTGCTTCCCGGAGAAATTTAGAACACAAGCTGTACAAGATTTCCAGCTAAGCGTTTGACTCGGATCGCAATGGCGAAGATATGGCTTCTTTATTAAAGGTGTCCGATGGTCAACTCGCCGTATGACTCTACTGTTTGGACATGGCTGCGAATGTATCATTGGCCGCATCAACCATCACGCATGCATCCGCGGGGGCGGCCATCGATCAATAAGCTCTAGTTTGCCCAGTGACGTACCATGCAGCGGGCACGCGCACGCAACTTACTTATATGTGGTGCATCATGTTGCATTGGACCGTGCAGCATATACGTCATTATATGAGCATATATCTCGACGGGTCAATTTGCAGTCCTGAGTCAATGTCTTGATTCCACGCGAATGATGTACTTTCATGCAGTAGGACCTGACGTGCGGCGGCGGACATTTAACGGCTGCAATCCATGCTGCCGGCGGCCGCCGGACCTGCCGCAAGCGACCGGGATCATTGAAGACAGCGCCATGCCAGCTAGGCTACTGTATAGGCGTCCGCCAGATGAAGGGGTCGTGTCCAGAGTCCAAGCTTGTTGAATTTCAACGTACTCAAGTACATTCGTTGAGATGCAGCCTGCCGATGAAAAAGTTCATCGACGCTTCCCTTAATAGGCGGCCTGACGCGCACTATTATATCCGGATTGTCTTATGGCTTGTCGCATGACCGCAGCAGCGTGCACTTGTCAGATCCAAAGGGTAATATCCCTTCTGGTCCCAGACTCTGAAGACCTCACTCGGAAACGATGTCTCAAATAATGTTGCTCATGCTTATACCTGCTCTAGCCCGTAATCTTTCTCCGTTGCCATCACCTCTTCGTCGTACTACTGTAACAGCATTGAATCAGTTTTCAAAATTGTCTGGCACGTAGGCCGGCAGTCGACTCAACTAATTCCACTCTTTTGACGACAAACACCTGAGCGGACTTTCTCATGTCCCCCTCGCTTTTGATGGTCGGACTCCATCAACCGTTGGTTCGTGGTGCCCTGATCCCGCAAAAGGCTCATTCGGAAATACGTTGATCGGCCCAGCTTCGGACGCCCTGTTGTCCTTCTCCGTTTTGGTAGCCTTCCGCCAGGCCATCACAATATTCTGTTTGAAGAAAATTGCCTTTCTTTGTGTAGATTCGAGGGATTATAAGGCTTCAGGTCAGCCGGGTATCAGGACTGGCTTTAATTCAAAAGTTCATACTCTTGACCGCGCTTTTGGATTTCCGAAAAGAATCTTGATCAAGGAACACAAGCACTCAGGCGAAATGAAGGACTACCAGAGAGAAGAGCAAGACACCATCAAAAGACGTAATCATTTCACGTCAGGAGGCAAGCTGAAGCGGCAGCGTGTAAGCATCTTGACACTCAACCTGCCTCGGGGACCGTAAGTTCTTCAGGGTTCAGTTTTTTCTTTGTGTCCCGTCCCTTTGATGACTTGTCCGAAGGAAGGCCTCAGTCTTGGTTTGTCACTTTCGCACTGTTTTACGTAAGTATCGTGCCGCCTGTCTTTTTTAGAACACATTGGCCGCGGAAAGTAGGTCTAGAAATCTCAGAAGTGATTCTTACCTTGGTGAAAAGGTGGGAGAAAATCCCGACCGGCCCGAACATGAGGCAGAGCACGAGCGAATGGCGGCTGGGCAGATTATGGGTGATGCTGTCAAGGTAAATGTTCCTGACAAAACAAGCTCAGACTGATCAGGGTTTGAACGTTCCTGGGTTCCTCTAAAGGCCATAACCTGGAGAGTGAAGTGGAAAACGGAACCTCGAGAATCTTGCTGAAAGCTTGAGGATTAAGAGAACAGAAGGCGGAACCTTCGAAGACCAAGCGCCAACCTCGAAGACTGTGATGACGGCCACGTACGCTGTCGAAATGCTCTGCAGTGGGAGTGATCAAACAAGCGTTTGGGTCGCCCGTTCATGCATGCTCAGACCGCAAGAAGGAGTCCTGCTTGTTACGTGGATTCCCAGCGATTTCGAATATGGCTTGCATACCTCAGCGGTGGAAGGACGTTGGTGAGAGATGGTCAAAAAGGAAGAACTGATTGAGCTTCAATTGGGTTGATGACAAAGTCAAGACTAGGTTAAGGAGGGCTGACTGCCGCAGAGAGGTTGACCACCAGGAGACGGATCCCGGCGAGGTCAACGGAGCAGTTCTCCTTTTCAAGAAGATCGATTTGGAGAAACTTTGATCGATGTAGAGAGGGTTAAGACTGGGTTGAGGTGGCTGACCTGCCGGCGAAGAGGTCGACCGCCAGAAGGTGGATCCAGGCGGAGGAGACGGTCAGCATGCTGGAGAACATGCGGGTGATCCCAGACAACTGCACGGAACGATACACGGTTTAGGGGGGACGAAACGCCTGCAGAACTCCCTCGCAAAATGTGCTGAAAAGCACGGACCCTTTCGCTGATAAGTAGAGAGCGACGTTCCAAAAGGTGATGTAACACACCGGTCGTCAGAGCTACGTCCGGAAGCAAGTGCTTGCTCGTGATGATGAGCACGGCGAGCACAGATGGCTCTCGGAAGCCGGAGACAACACGCCGATCGTATAAGCGCACCCAGGAAAGCAGATACCTTTCGAGCATCTGAAATCAGGATAGCAGGCCGCTTCAAAAGCAGAAAACCAAGCTCATTTCCAGAAGCAAGTACTTGCTCGGGAGAACGAGCTCGGGAAAGACAAGTGCTTTCCAAAAGCTAGATACGCCACGCCAATTGTATAAGCGCACCTCATTTGCTCAAGAATCTGTTTCCAGGATAATAGGCCGCTTGTCGAGAGCTGAAAACCAAGCGCCAATTGTATTAGCTCACCTCCGGAAGCCAGTACTTGCTCGAGAACATGAGCTTGGGGTGCTCTGGAGTCCACGAGATAGAGAGCAGGTACATGTACATTGCGCCTAGAATCACGTACGGGATTGCGCTGTCCATCACCTTGCGCGTCTGCACGAGCGAATTGAGTATTCAATTTGAGTTCTGGATACACTTTTCATGTTTTGTGGACATTTTCCGTAATTCATAGGAACTTTTGTCGATTCAGACGCTTTTGCACTCCGACACTCCTAGCTGCGCAGTTCAAGTCTAGGCTTCTCTGCCTGGATGAAGGGAGGCTACTGTTACCAAATCACCACGAAGGTGCGATATTGCAGCAAGAGAGTTGGATTTGCGCATTCAAGGCGGTCAGGGTTAGCAGAAGCAGAATTTACTAAATGTCCAAAATCGTTCTCATGCGGAGGAGTGCCTCTGGCAGACCTTCAAGATACATCGGGAAGCGAGTTGAACAATGTTTAGAAGTGGTTGAAGATGTGATACAGATATTGTTTGAGGCATTTAAAGCTGAAGGTCGGACCGAGAAATTGAACGAACGATTAGTCCATTGCCCGAGCATCATAAGATTGGGGCCAAATTTGGAAAACAAAATACCGTTGCAACTTTGATCAATGAACGCCGTTCCAGTGCCCCACCGATCCGACAAGAACGCTCTTACCAAGTCTGCAACCCCATCTGGTTTTCTGATTCAGGCAGTCTTGTGTCCTGTGTACTATGCGCAGTTTGACAAAGACGTCAACCATGGACGTCAGACGAAGAGGGGCAAAAGTGTTGGAGAAAGGGCTGTCAAGATGGGATTGTAAAGAAGCACAAGCGGATAACACAGTTCGGGTGGACTCACCCCTCGCCACTTTGGGGCAGCCAGCATCAGCGTGTAGAACGGGACGACCATCGCGGTTCCAAATGTAAACATGTTGGAAGCGAGATCGACAGAGCAGGAGCAGGCTGCAGGAACGACGACCAAACCGGGGTTCCTAAGCTGGATACTTATTGGGATCGTCTAAATAATACTAGAGTAGGAGAAGACTTCGAAACAAAGTGGAAGGTACCAGGGATAATACTGGGGGAAGACTCAAAGAGTCGTCACAGGTTTTCGTGAACTTGCGGACATGTGGCCTCTGCCCTGTAGAATATAACCATTGAAGGCGCGGGGAATGCGGGGCGCACTAATGACAAGTTTTCAGAAAAGCAGCCGCCGGCGATTTATATGAGCCTATAGAGGTCTCACCAGGAGACTATCAGAACGCCTCCAATGGAAGCTTCAAACGGTTGACACCAAACGGTGCCCGAGCCTAAGCTGTGTCACCAGTGTTGACCATGCGTTAAGAAACACCTTCTACAAAAGTAGATGGAACCTTGACGGACAGATGATCAATCGGGTCGTCTACTGACCCTCAAGTTGAAACCAAACATAGATTGACATTCCCACAGATAGTCTACCAACTCAAGATTCACAAACAATGCCCCAGCTGAATAGAGCCACCAATTGATCCTTGATGACTCAGCTCAGCCAAAGCGTTACACTAGCGGCTCTTGGCAGCAGCCCTTACCCAAAGCTGAGCCCCGTCCTTTCCTCCTCCCCGCAGTTGCCATCAGCTCTCCGCATACTCGAAGAAGGGGGTCTCCCCTGAAGCCGCTCCTTAGGAAACGAGGCCCTCTAGACACTCTTTGACTCGACGGCGCCCCCTCCAATAAAGCTGATGGTTTTGATGAAGTTAAGCCTGCCACTAAAGCTACCGCTTTCCCCAAGTGCCTGGAGGTTCTAGCTGGTTTCAGCCTCCTACTTGTCTCAGCTGCTAGTTTCCTCGCTTGAAGGGAGCATAGACAAGTCTTTTGACTTGCGCTTGAATGTCTAGGGCGAAAACATCCCTTGTCTGTACCACCACCGACTGGTCTGGAGGCCGTTGCTCGAAAGGGCTCTCTTCGAAGGCTACCCCTCGATCTCATGCTCCCTTGAATGTCCAAGCTACCTGACATGCTGGGGACGTGGCAGCTCCTTCGGGTGCCTGCTGATGTGATTAGGACCCCCTGAAGCTGCGTGGACTGCCCAGGAGCCAGCCAATTGTGGCATGGGAGAATCTTTTCACACCTTGCCTGAAAGGGAGGAAGGTCAGAATATGAGCGATGGTGATGCGTGCGCGATGCAATTGATTTCGGTTTGCACTAAAGGCCTCATGATGCCAGTCAGTGGGGCCACTTCAGCTATCTCTTGCATCATTTGACCAAGCAACATGATGTGCATGGAATACCCAGAACAAGGCGGAAAGGCAACCCACTGGTACTGTGAATGATACGGACTTTTAGAAGAACTCTGAAGTGTCCTGCGTTATCAAGTGGCGCCAGAACAGAATGGACTGACATAGACAAAACTGCAAAGGCATTCTGTGAACTGGGGCGATATACTGGTGGTGGGACTCCAAAACAAATCCTCCATTGCTCAACTCGGTTTGCAGTTCAAAAGTTTGATGGTTTTTTGGTGTCTCTATGCTAAGATAGTGACGCCATCGTTTAGCAACTTCCCAGGTCAGTAAAGGATTCTGTGCTTGCAATTCACTCCACAACCAGGCATTCATTGGCTCTGAGAGCTATGACAGTGGTGCCCCAACAAAAAGGTGCCCCAACAAAAGGTGCCCCAACAAAACCAGAGGCGCCACATTGCACATAAGGCTGGCAGCATTGGCTACAATTTCACCATTCTGAAGACTGCCTTACTTTGGAATAAGTGCAACCGACCCTGGAGTTGACACCACTAATTCTGGTGGCGGCCACCGAAAGGACCGCCATCCAGAGACCCCTCGTTTGGCACAGGCTCCTTCGGAAGGCGCAGCAGGCTGATTGCCAACTCCTGTGCTACTGTAATACTAAAAGGTGGAACCAGAAGAATGCAGCAAATGCTGCCAATGCAGGCGGTCTTTTGTCCACCTATGTCATATTATTATGAGTATTGCAGCAGCCAATTTACACGTAGAGAGTGAGACTTGAGGCTGTACTACGCGCGCGAGCGTACGAGCGGGCTCGCTGGTTTGCCGAAGGCCGCGGCCGCGCCGCGCTAACTTACAACCGCGGCCGCGTAGCGTGGCGTTACCCTTCCAGCCTGGCCGGCTACGCCCAACAACCCAATTGGCCGGGAGTACTGCAGCTATTACGAGCTAGAAGCCAGGTACAGCTGATCAAACTTGAACGGCTCCAAAGAGCAACGCATATGCGGGAGCTTGCAGCCGCCTTTTCTTCCCAACGAAGCGGGCCGAAAGAGGCGCCCCCATGATGGCGGCCAGTCTTTGGTTGCATCTCAGGATCTCTCTTCTTCGCCTGGCAGCCTCGCTGCTGTCTCTATTTCTGCGCTTCACCACTCCTCAGCCTTCTCTGGTGACGACCTTCCACGTGCCACGCCGCCTGCGTTGCTGCCTCTACTATCCTCCTTCCTACACAACCACAAGCAAGCGACCATACCCTGTGTACATCAACCTGCATGGAGGAGGGTTCGATGCTGGGACTCCTGAGTCCGATGGCGAGTTTTGTGCGTTCCTTGCTGAGAGAGCTGACTGCATAGTCTGTTCGCCAGAGTATAGACTGGCTCCAGAGTACCCCTATCCAGCAGCATTACAGGACTGCCTGGCAGCTTTGGATTGGGTCGAGCAGACACTTCAACCCCCTCGAATCGCTTTGGAAGGCTTCAGCGTTGGGGGAACATTTGCTCTAAGTGTGGCTCAGCTGCAAACAAGCAAGCTCTCTTCTGTAGTAGCCGTCTTTCCTAGTCCCATGGACCTGTCTGAAAACTCCGTCCATGACTTTACCAACAAGGACCCTATGAAGCGAAACATGTATCACGAGGCGTATCTGCTGTCTACAAGCCGAGACAGCCTGACCGACCCGCTCCTGTCCCCAGCATACGCCGTTCGCTCAGAGCTCCCGCCTTCGGTGCTCTTCATTGCGGCACGCTTTGACCCCAACATTCAGGATCTGCTCAAGTTCATGGAGAAGATGAAAGCTGAGAAAGGCTTCATTGGGAAAGTGTACGAAGACGTCTTCCATGGTTGGGTGAACGTCCCAGACTCTTTGGGGTTCTTTCTGGGGGCAGAGAGGAAGGAGAAGAAGTGGGATGCTTTCAGGCTGATTGCTCAGGAGATCAAGAAAGGTTTCTATGTGTAGTTTCCCGGTTCTTGACACAACACCGGACTGTACCTAGGAAGCAAGCATTGACTAATTAGCAGCGGGACAGGCGTCAGCTAAATATTCGTAACTACCTTGTAAGAACAAGGACCGGAGTGACTAGGTTTTGAGATGCTTGCCCCTTGATCCAGACTGTCACAGTTCCCTGTTTTGTAAGATTAAACAAAGTGTGGACAAAGAGTATTCGGAAACGTACAAGAGGTTTCCGAAGCATAATTGGACAATAGAATAAGTATGAATGCTTAGGCTAGTTACTTCCTGTACAGTTTTGGAAAACCTTTGTTTCCAAAAAATGTCGATTCTCTCTCCTACAGTTTTCAACATTCTGGCCAGATTGGAATTCACGTCGGCTTGCATCCTTTGCGTTGTCTACCTAACTTTCAAAAGACCGCTTGCCCGGCGCGCGATGGTTACAACGGCTTCAACGTCCAGTATGGATTGAATCTCCTAAACTCCGTGGATCGTTTCGACCTTCGTATCAGATTCTCATGCATCACCTATCATGAGGTGTCCGGTCCGCGCGCACGGATCGACTGACAGCAGGTATGATCATGCACTCCTGCCGCCGAAGTGTCTAGATATTGATGCAGTACGAATCTTTGTAGAATACAAAATATGACTCACTTTCAGCTTACCTTCTGCTCTTCCATTTAAAGCTTTTGATGGCTGTTGGTCTGCACTTTGCGTGTGCTTTCAATGGATAAAACGTATAGTACGCTTCTGAGGATTGATTGCCCTTGGTTCTGTACACCTACGAAAGCGAGCTCGGCTGGTGGCCGTTCGATCAGTCTGTGAGCCTTTGGGCTCAATACCCTCTGCTCAAAGGTATGAACATACATGTCAAAAAGCCGAGTCATAATGATGATCACCCTGCATATCTCGATAAGTATGTACAGCTTGTGTCTCTCTGAGTATCTGGATCAGACGAGCGACTGGGGCGTTCGTCTGATTGTGACTGAGAAGCCGCTGGACTTGCTTGTCCGAATCCCGAAGATGCTTGTCCGACCCTTTTGTTCTTCGACTACTCTAGACTCATAACTAGCTCCCCGTTACTCATACCATGTTATTTAAAGCGGCACCTGCGCTAGAGTGCACTGCCTATGGAGGCGGTTCCTTATCCATTCCTCAGGGGACGCACAAGTTTTCGAGGCTGGACCAGAGCCCATCATCAGTTGTAAGGGCTGTTATTGTCCACTATTCGATTACGATTATAATGGCAACTTCGTGTAAGTATCATGGCCGCAATCTGCTCTCTTGAAAGCCCCCGGACTCGTTCGTTTCCTGGAATTCAATCCCCCGGTTGATCCTTTTACGGCGACACTTCTACCTCCAGTGCGGCTTCTTGGGTCGCCCCAGCTTCTCGGCTAGCCAGTCGGGCAGTTTCTTGGGCGGCTGCATAAGCGAAGGAGCGGTCGGGACGTGCAGACGACCTTCGTCCGGCGGTCCGTTTGACCGTCCGTTCCGTCCGCTCCGCCCATCCGCGTGCGGAATGCGCTGCAAGATCCCCGCCACCATGTTCAGCTCCCGTAGCGAGAAGCAAGCCCATACTAAAAGACAATACGAGGAGAATCAGATTCCCGAATATGGTTCCTGCTATACGAGAGTCCTTCAGATGCAGAAGTTCAAACTGGTGAGAAAGGGAGCGTGTGTTTTTGGAGGAGATCCACCAGAAGGAATGCGGCGAGAAAGAAAGCCGTTCGTTTCTACGCGTAATAAGCAACGGCAAGGCAGAGTCCGGTTGCATTTTTTCCGACTCGCCCGATGAAAGAAGGAACCTGTTTTCGAGCGACACGGTTGGCGTTCCTTGGTAAAATAGTGTTGGTTGATGCGCGCGAGGTTCTCGACATGTCACGCTTCAATCTGGCAATGGAGCATCAAAACTGTTGGTTGAGAAAACCACGAACGAACTTCGAAGGACGCAGTCGCCGATAACCAACGTGACTCCTACCATTGCGGGGGAACAGTTTGGCGTCAACTCGTCTTCGACCTTCATAGAACTATACCACCTTCCTACAGATTTGATCAGCGGCAAAGTGTCCCTAGAAGTCTGCCTCTCACCGCAAGCGTGCGTCCCGGGGCATCCCCCAGCCATCCCCGATGAAACTCTGCAGTGCGGGCCTTCGGCTCATTCTTCTTGATATCCACCTTTCTACCCTTCCGGGGGGGTCCTTTCGCCACGTGTCCTCCCGCCCCGCCACCACGTGTCGGGCTAAAAAGCGACCGCCACGGGTCCCACGCCTCCTCCTCGCCCCCCCAACTTTCCCTCCATCCGGTGCCCCCCATTTTGGAGCTCTCGCTATACCCCCCCTCGACCCCCGGCTGCCGAGTCCCCCCTGGCGGAGTGAAACTCTCCGTCATCCAGTTCTGCAAACTAGAGCTCTTCGCGCTGGGTGGGCTGAACAGGCAGCTCCAGCCGTCTTTCTGCACCCCCCCAGGAAAAGCCTCTCGTTCCGGGGGGCTGGTTTCTGGGCTTGGAGACACCCCCACGTTGCCACTCTCCGCTGACGTCATCCCCTGCTCCAGGAACATCTCCATCCGCTCGCGCCGGGCGCGCTCCTTTTCCGCCCCCAGGAAAATCAGGAAGCTGCCGAAGGGGGGCGTCTCGAACTCCAATTCCGACCCCCCCTCCCCGCCGCTGCTGACGTCAGCCCAGGGGTTGTCGTAGACCGCATAGGCGTCCTTGCCCACGATTCTCCACCGGGGCTGCCACGTCAGCAGATCATTGACGTCGGATGCAACCTCCTTGGCGCCGCTGAGGTCATCATTCTCGCTGACGTTTGCGCGCTGCGGCCGCGCGAGCGCGCTCCACAGCAGCGCGGCCTCGAAGCGCCGCAGCTCGGCCTCCAAGCGGGATTTGCGCTCGCGCTCCGCGAGCACGGCCCGGAAATTCCGGAAGGCGTTTTGCCGGGCGCCGTGCAGCTGCGCGCAGGCACCGCAGCAGGACACCATTCTTAGCGTGGACTGCTTTCTCCGCTTTTGTTGTAAGACTTTGTGGAGCGTTCAGGAAAAGGGCAAGACAAGGTAACCCCCCTTGGAAGCTTCTGAAACGGGAATGATTATGCGTTGGAAAGTGGTGATATTCGAAGTGCTCCGCCGCCTTTTACGAGTGAGTCCTAAAAGAATAAGTTGCTGGCTTTCTGCCTGCTTCGGAAAGACTTGCTCAAGCAGCTGAACGGAGCACGCAGCATCTGTTGACTAGCAAGGACCTCTCGCACTAAGACGCTTTTTGCTGATCAAGAGTACCCCAATCTCTGCCACCTCACGGGATCAGGTTTTGACTGTCAGCATCTCTCAGTATTGACGTCCTGTTCTTCTATAGTGACCTTTCGCACACTGCCCCAGGACAAACACACAATTCCGAAGTGTGCAGATTTCTCCTGTTCCATCGACGAGAGACTCGGCCGTTCCGTTTGCATTGTAGAAAGGCCCCTTGATCAGACCCTCTAGCATCTGGACCCTCGTGTCGATGCCTTCGTTGCAGGATCTGTGGGCTTTGCGCACCTCTCCATCTCGGCTTTGAACCACTGAGGCGCTCGAAAATCACATGGACACAGGAGCTGTGGTTTACGGGCCTTCCCTTGAGATGCATCAAGGACCCTCATCCTGTTTATTGCGCCGTTTCCCGTCGCCTCGTTCCTCTCCTCGCGCCAAACGTCACTTTCATCGGCTGCCGTATCCTCATCATTTCCTCTCGCACTGCTGCGCTCAGGAGACGTCTGCGGACTCATCGAGGTGCCTCTGCTTCCGGGGATCCGCCAAAAGGGGCGCCACGAAACGAGAGCTTCTGCGATTCCGGAGACTCGCCGTTCACGGAAGCAGCAGTTTGTTCCGCTCAAAGTCGCAGAGCGATTCGCGGCGCTTGACGTGACGCGATGTGACCTTGTTGGATTCCACCGCGACAGTGACGCTCGACCGCACGATCGCCGATCGGACGGACCGAAGCGCGCGTACGGAGCATTCGAGGGTCGGCAGCAGTCAGACGCAGTCGGCAGCGTTGCATGCGCGACTCCGTAAAGTCGAAAATCGTGCCGAGAAGCCGAATCACGCGAAAGCCGTTCGCTGACAGACGTCCAAAAGCATCTCAAAACTTACTACAACTACGAATGCCTGACGGACTCGACTTGTAGCTGTCAGCTCCCCTGGGTGTCATAGCTAAGTAAAAGCAGCGTTGGTGACGTCATGCTGCTCTGGCACGTCAGCAAGCGGAAAGATCGCTTGCGTACAGATCGAGCCGTGCTTCTTTGAAGATGCCGCCCGTCTCCTTCGGATGTGAATCGGTTTGGGACCTGTAATACAAAGGGAAGTGGGCGGGATGGCCGTTACGCCTGTCGGTCAAAGGCCACGTTTTAGGCGGTCACAGCAGAGTACACCAGAGTAGATTCGGAACAACTTTTTCAGGACACTCGCGGGTTAAGATCTCAGATTGGAATGGCTTTGTGGTTTGTATGACAGCGACCGAGGAAGATGTACAGATTCTCCTTTGTTTGAACACGGCCTTAGCTACCATCTGAGGTGTCAATGAAAGCCCATGTTATTTGAAGTCGTTTCCGCAGGGTGTCGCCTTCTTTTGGGCAACCAGCGCATGCTGCTCACACCAATCCTGGTACCAGATTTGTAACGTCCACTCGTTTGACATGGCTTTCTCGGGGTGGTCTAAACTCGTGACAGATTGCGATTGATTGCGACCGCATCGAAATCCCTCCAGTCGCCCTGGCAAGATTCTACCCCGTTGAATTGGCTGATGCAAGGGTGTTGGCAATCAGTGCATTTTTTTGGGATTGATGAAGATCTGAAGTGTCTGCAATGTTGAACTTGCATAAGAACGTATCTTCGAGAGGTAGTAGTTGTTCAAATGAGGACTGGTCGAAGGGTTTACGGGGACGAAGCTTTCTCCTCTTTTGAAAGCAGCCAGACTCCGTTGCACTTTCGGAGGGTTGTCTGTACATTGAAGGGACGAGCGTGTGATTCTGGTGCAAAGCTGAACGTTCTTCCAATTGGTTGCACACATCATCTCTGGTTACGATGCTTTCAACTCATCTAGTAGATGTAGTCTTACTTTGCGAAGGGTCACTTTGTAAGGGGCGCTTAGGACTTTAAAGCGAGTTCGCTCCGCCAGGCGCAGAAGCAGCTCCTTACAACTTCCTGATCTTGGTCACAGGGACTTTGCATTAGTGACTCTCACCCGTTAAGACGCTTGATAATGAAAGCACCTAACCAATGATAGATTGTAAGTGCCTGGTAGAAGATCACATTCTTGGGACAGTGTTGCTGGTAGAAGGAGTTACTAACGGCGCTTTGCCAGCACTTCCAAACAGCCACTAGCCCTGTACGCCGCCATGGCTTGCTGCTTTTCCCCGGGGAAAGCTACCGAGGACCCCAAACCGGCTCCTAAACCTCCTTCTAAACCGGCTTCCAAACCCGTTTCAAAACCCGCTTCTAAATCCCCCGGTTCCGCCCCTCCAGTCAGAGACCATGACCACGAGTGGGACCTCGACGCAGAGCTGCAGATAGCAGGGGTCCCGGAGAGCGTCTTACGTCAGCTGAGGTCAGAGTTCCGCGCGCGCACCATCTACGTATCGCCTATGCCCAAGCGCAGCTCGTATCACGCGGGGCCAGACGTCAGCGCGCGGTCAGAGGCCTCGGAGCTGCCCCTCGAGGGCGTGACGTCAGAGGAGCTGGATGCCCAGCCGGCGGCGCCGCGGCCGCGGCCGCGTCGCGCGCTCAAAACCCTGGGCGTCCCCCAAACCCCGCAGGAGGAGAGGGAGCTGGCGTACCAGTACCGGATGCACCGCTTCCGCTCGCGCTCGCGGACGAGCAGAATGCCGAGCATGGGAACGGAACTGACGAGCAACAACGGAAACGAGTACGAGTATCCGGATTACATCGATTATGAGCGGGACGCAGGGTTTGGGGTTTTGGAGAACGAGACCGGGGGAGATAACCGGTTCAGTTCGTGGACTTTGGCGTGGCTGGACACTCTGCAGCAAGAGGCGGCTTTCGAGCAGTCGGGGGACTTTGACCCGCGGGAGACGCCGGGAAACTTCGTGCGGAATCTCGGTCGGGTAAGAAGATCCGAGCAGGATCAAATTGCTTCCTGCGAATGTTTGAATCCGGTGATTTGCAGAAAGGGCTGCGATTCAGCGGTTGCTTCCGTTGTGCATATAATGGCTCCGTGATTGTCCAGCAGACGTTTTGCTCGGCTTGACGTTTTTGAGGACGCGTCTGTGACCCAGCCATTTTGTTCCAAACATGTCCGCATCGAGAGCTGTCAAGTTAGAAGCACACATGAAACCGAGAAACATACAACAATAATCCCGCACTTGATGATTTGGAAGGAAGACGTTTGGACCATGAAAGAGCGAGCTAAACCAGATGGGAGTCGTGTGTAAAAAGAGGTGAACCCCGACATCCGCTTCGGAAGTTCCCGTTCGCGAAGTCATGTTCTCCCTTCGTACATAAAGTGATCCCTTTTTGCAGGAAAGTGAGGCGATCTCGTCGTATCGGCTGGACGAGGCGGCTCCACAGTCTGCTGCGCAAAGAGCGTTTCGGTCGGCGGGGTAGAGAAGTATGACGCATCAACCTGGCGACGGTACTTGAGTACCGGCCGAGAAACAGCATCATCCAGTGCTTTTCACTGTGTCAACAGCTCGAATGTAACTCGATGCAACTAGTAGTCTTGTGTCAGAGCACGGGCAAGCCTGGGCAAAGGCCTCAGTGTATACCGGGCGGGTAAAGTGAAGAATTGGTACCGCAAGCGCAGAAGAGTGAAGAACGTTTTCGTTTGACCGATGCTCATAACACAGTGCCGGTGTAGATCGAACTTGCATGTATGCATAAAGTCAGGATTCCCGCGGCCAATTCATTTTCCGACGTTGCGCACAGTTGCCACCAAGATGGCAGCTTCTAGCTCAGTATGAAGTACGCATATATAGTGACCATGCATGATATAGCCAGCCAACACTTTAAACATTTTCCTGGGGGCGTTGAAACCATGTGTCACATGCTCCCTGGAGGATCACACATGCACCGGCCCCGGACATATAAATAGGAAGTGCTCAAGCGTTTGCATATGGTTGCTGCGTGCAAACAGCACTAGCTGAGTATATAATCTGTTGCATGAACATCTTTTAGTCTACCGTCATGATTCGACCTCAGCAGGCAGGTTCCACGCGATATTTCAACAACTTGAATCAAAAAGAAAGTCATGATAATACCACAGTAGCCATATGTCGCACAATCGACGAGGTAGATAAGTTCACCTCTTCAGTTGCCATGATTGACTCGATCGTTCAAGCTAAAACCAGTGAATTTAACCAGATAAACTCGTGCACGAGTTTATCTGGTTAATTTGTAAAGTCCGACTCCCCATGAGTCATCAGTCTGGTCACCAGATCTGGTCACAGTGTATGCGCGGGCATTGCTACCTTTTGGGTGCGTCCCGCGCGTGTAACCTTTAAAGCAGGGGATAAACCCCGCTGCAACATCCCTTAGAATAGACCTGCTCTAGCTCTTCCGATGGGCTCCTCAAACACCAAATGCGCAGGCCCGACGTGATCTCGTTCATTCTGGCGATCTTGGGATGCTAACCCATAACTAGCACTAGCCTGATTGCTAGCACACAACCACCGGTTATACTCTCACAAACACTTGGAAAAGCGCACCCGTTATCCTTAACCTTACAAGAACATTAACCTGTCCCTGTGAACGCAGTGCTTACGTTCCTCACAATCCTATCTGCCGAGCAACACTTGAGGGTTCGACAGCTGGATGAGGCTTTCCGGGTGAAGCTTGATGCCCGTGGGTCCCAAGTCCAGCCCGATCCCGAGCTCCATCATCTCCTGTTGGGCGTGCAGGATCAGCTTGCTCCGGCGTTGAAGCCGTTCGCCCATCTCCTGGATTAGAGAACGCTACGCGATTGGTTAGCAACGAGCTCTCGAAGAGAATGATTAAGGGCTTCTTAGCGGGTTGCGTGCAATGAAACGTTCTGCTGATTCTCTGGAGGCCACGTCACACGATCTTTCGCGCTCGAAGAACGTTCACGTACACTGAAGTGCGTTCCCTTTCTTATATTCAACAAGCGTTTGCTGGTCGTGCGGCGCCGTTGATCGCAGACTCCCAGCGTCGCTCTGTTATCCACGTAGATGCAACAGAGACCGGAACATTGGTACGGGCCCCACCCAAGCATCGCAGCAAGTAGCAAAAGGGACCCATCAAGCCAGCACCTCCCAACAAAAGCAGCACCAGTCATGCCATGCACGTCCGAAATGAATCTCCGATTTTTGTCCACCACTTTTTGGCTTTCAGGTTTCCGGTCCATACCTGGAAGTTCATCCGGTGCTGCCACCCCAGGCTCATCTTCATCTTGCTGCTGTCCTCGATCTCCTTTACAGTCAAAGACACTTTCGGATAGAACGCCTGCGGCAAGCCCTCAATGTACGCGAGCATCCGCTCCTTGAATACCCCGAGCTTTTCCACCGGGGTCTTGGCCAAGATAGTGAACTCCCAGCTGTCAGACTGGTCGGGCGACCGGTAGAAGTTGAGGACGGGCTTTCCCGCCAGCACGTTGTTTGGATAATACACCTTGGCGTTGTCGCTCGTCCTGAAAAAAAGTATAGCTTACCAGGGCAGATACGAGTTATGAATGCTGGAGAATAGGCTATGTGTGGTGCAATGATTTGTGAGCCGCCAGCATGTCGTACCGACACTAAGCTTTGGCGTTGTCTTCTCATTGGAAAAATCTTAGGCAACGAGGGGCAAGATCACGAAAGAAATAGGGGCAAACAACAAGGAAGTGCGTGGAAGTAGGAATGTAGAAGGGACAACTTATGGCTTTGTCGTCTGTCCTGGAAGACGAGAAGAATATATAAGGGCGGGAAAAGGCCATGATGCACTGAGATTGGCTCTTGACTACCGGGTTATGGTGCGAGCCTCGGACGTCATTCTCTTACCCGTGGCAGTGTCGCTACTATTGTGAGGGTAGAATGTCAACAGATTAAGCAAGTTGCCGGGACGACAAACGAGGAAGGGAACGCAAGTAAGAAGCTCGACGAGTACATGGATAAAATCCTCATGAGCGGCCGACCGATGTGGCTGGGCGACTCCGCCACTCAAAGCGCTCCTTCGCTTTTGGGGCGCATTGCAAAAAGCCAATCGTCCGTCGCTTGCCTAGCCCGTGACGGTGGTTGGTTACCTTCTCGTTTGCTTAAGCCCTCCGCGTTTAGTGAGTGACTCGAGAAAGGAAAGCGGATCAATCAAGGTCGCACGGATTGCAGCGGGGCATGTTGACGTCTGGGTCTGATTTCTGATTCCATCTGAGCGCAGCTCTTTGAACGCAGGAACAAGAAGACTAAGCAAAGCAGCAGACAAACAAAGTGGGGGACTCCCTTACTGCAGCAGCCTGGTGTTCAAGATGTTG